GATTCCTTTTTTGGAATGTGGAGGTTTTACTCAGGTGGGCAGCCGAGCTCCACCACAACAGCTCTCTCACTCCCCCTCTCCTCAAAAAGGAAGGGGGAGAAAATACAACACAGAGAACTCGAGGTTTGAGATGAGAAAGGTTTAATTAAAGGGAAAGGGGAGGAAAAAAGAAACAAAAGAAACAATCAGTCTGCGCGGAAGCACAGAGAGAGGGAAAAAAAAATTATTCTCTACTTCCCATCAGTGAGCGGTGTTCGGCCACGTCCTGGGAAGCAGGGCCTCAAACGCGTAGTGGTTGTTCAGGAGGAACAGCCCCCTCCCCCACGAGAGCCCCCCTTTTATTGCTGAGTGTGACATCAGGTCTTATGGAATATCCCTTTGGTTGGTTTAGGTCAGCTGCCCCGGCAATGTCCCCTCCCCATCACTTGCCCACCCCCAGCCTGCTGGCTCTTGGGGGCTTGGAAGGAGTCCTGATGCTGTGCCAGCACTACACAGCAATAAACACAACACTGGAGCGATATCAGTGCTGTTCCAGCTACGAGTGCAGAGTACAGCACTGTGCGGGCTGCTGCAGGGAAAAGGTGACTCCAGCTCAGACAGGCCCAACACAACTTCCACCCCTTATTCCATAACATTTGTGTCACAATCAGGTACAGTTTAGTATATAGATGTTCTCATCACCATTGTTTTCTGTCCATTGAAGCATTTATATGTCTGTACTTCCCTTTATTCCATAGGTCTTTTCCCAAAATGCTCATAAAAACTGTTGATGGTTTCAGCTTCATCTGTCAAAGTGGTCACTCAGGGCAGGCGAAGTTGGTTTTCTTGACACCAGCATCAGCTTAGCTCACATCACTGTTGCAGTTGCCTGGTTCCTCGTGAAGTTGACCTGTTGTTGGTTCTGCAGTGTCCTCCTACAACACTGTTGTGGTTTAGCCCGGCCGGCAGCTAAACACCACGCAGCCGTTCGCTCACCCTCCCCCCTCCCTCTCTGGGACGGGGGAGAGAAATGGAAAGTGAAGCCTGTGAGTTGAGATAAGGACAGTTTAATAAGACAGGAAAATAATAATAACAATAATAATAATTAAATAATAATAATAATAATAATAATAATAATAATAATAATAATACAATGGTGATAATAGTACTACTATTATCTACTACGGTGGGCAGCAATCCTCCTAGGGGCCCTCTTTGTTGTTGCTGTGTCTTTCCATAGCTCACGTACCCGAGCAGCTAGGGCCGAGGTTGGTTTGCCGTCCCACGTCCTCATATCTTCCCCGTTGTCACGTAAATAAAACCACAAGGTACCTCGCAATGTGTGTCCCAGATTCTCCCTTGTTTGAGCCGGAAACTGCTGGCACTTGATGGCCGAAAGATTCTTCCGTCTAGGTGAGGAGGAAGCTATGTGTTCATCTAACCGTTGGGACAGTCTCTCCACAGCTGAAATGCAGTCCCATACTGGGGCAGAGAGATTTTCTTCATATTTATGAAGGTGATTGGACATGTTGTCCACAGTTGGCCCCATCCCTTCCTCCCAATCCATTGCTGCCAGTGTGCTGGCATGTGATGAGGGTGCAGCCTGTACAAACTTCCGCCACATGGATGCTGTGCACTAGACCCAAGTCTCAAGGTTTACCCTTCAAACCCTCTATTGACACGAATTGCTAGACCATTCCTTTGCAAGATACAAGAACTATATACATGTACATTAACCACTCTGTTTTTCTTAGACTTGCGGTTATACAAGGGTATGTAAGACAGAAGGTCACATTTCATCATGCGGCCCTAGCATTGTTCCATATTGACACGAATCAGATGAACACATTTCACATAGGCTCACATTCTTATCAAGGGACTAACCTTGGTAAGGGGCCCAAGGCTTCTTGCTTTAGTTAATTTGCACAATGCACCACAGTTAGCAAAGACACTAAGTTGTATCCTAGTTTAATGCTGTCAGCACTCTATCTCTACTTGATAAGATTCTCCTAACTCCTTCTCTCAGCATAGTCAGAGCCTCTAACATGCTCAGGGACCACCAGTGGTGAGAGAAGAAGCCTTGGGCCCCTTACCAAAGTCAGTCTCCTGATAAGAATGTGAGCCTATTGTAATAAATGACTGAGTCCCAAATAGAATTGCAATTAAAGTTTACAATTTATTAAACGAATAGAGTCAGGCAAACAGCGCTGGGTGCGCCGGGAGTCTCCGCTCCACCAAGACGCACACAAGTTACATCAGGTGGCTGGTTTTTATGCTCCTAGGCTAATACATATTCATCACTAAATCTAGAAAAGGCAGGGTTATTATAATTAGTTTCCCGGGATCCAAACCATCCCACGGACGCACGTGTATCGGTCTCCGGTGGTCCCTCTGGGGGCCTCTCGTTCTGAAGGCTCGTAGTCTTCCTCCCAGGCTTTGTCCTTCAGTCATTCTTCAGCTTCCCTTCTCTCCTTATTTAAAAGTCTCCGGGCTGGATGTAAGAAATTTGTGTCTCATGCAATAGTCAGCAGTTATCTCAAAAACTCCCCCTTTTCTCTTATCTCCCAGACCCGAGTCTCAAGGCTTACCCTTCAAACCTTCTATTGACACGAACTGTGTTATAAATGAAGTCTCAACTCAATCTGAATTTAGTAATATTTATAAAAGGAATATTTATAAAAGGTAAGTAAACAGCGCTGGGTGAGCGGGGAGTCTACACTCCACCAACACGCACACACGAACATCGAACATTCTAAACATATAGAACATTGCTTTTACACACTAAACCCAAGTACACCTATACATAAGTACAATCAGAAAAGGTAACAAACAATCCTCCAAGTTCCATGACTCCACAGTCTCCATTTTCCACTCCTTTTCTTGATTACAAACAAGTCTCCATTTTCCATTCCTTTTGAACAATATATCTCACTTTAAGTTGTCAAGCAACTCGGTCTTCAGGCCTTATGTATCCCGTTCTTCCCGGATCGAAGAAAAGCATATACATTTCCTTTTCAAGGCCAATAGGGCCCGGGTCAAAAGGCACGTTCAGGTCAACAGGGGGCGTAACAGCAAAAGCCTTCGATGGCTGTAGCAGCAGAGGGGCCGATGGCAGTAGCAGTCAGATCAGTGAAGGAGCCCGCAGCTCCCTCACTGTTTGGCAAACCACACGTGTCTGACTGTGGTCCCACATGGCTTTTTAAGGCCTCAGAGACTGCTTGCCAGGTGCCGAGCAATCCCGCTGCAACCTTGTCATTTTTAGTTGCAGAGTCCCACACCTTGACCTCAATTTGGTCCCATATTTCAGGATCATCAACTTGTTGAGGGATTTCTTGAAACAGCAAAAATCCCATGGCTTGCTGTAGCTGAGCAAACCAAGCTACCAGGGCAACTATGAGAAGTTCCCATGACAGTGTTCCCACATCGAGGAATTCAGAAAATATTGTTACCAGTAGCTGGCTTCAAGGACAAAGTCTATGTGACTGCTAATCACAAAGGGTTGTTTTCTTGCAGGTGGGGTTGTTTTCTTATAGTTGTTTGAGTGCTTTTGACCAATAACCTTGTGTGAAACACTGTCCACCCCTGTTAAGTTCTCTATAAAAGTTAGGCTATTCGGGCAATAAAATGGAGCATGATCTGACTCTGCTGGTGTCTGTCGTGCTTTCGGCCGTGCTTCCTGCAACATCAACTGTCTGATTGTTAATAAGGAGAATAAGCTGTAAGGTTACCAGGACAATCTTTGTTCTTAAGGACGTATGATTCCCCATAATGCGCAACTGCTTACCAGCGAGAGTCAGTTGTGTGCGCGGGTTCGCTTCTCTCAGCTTGAGCTTCTTCCCAGTTCCGGTGTGCCTATTTCCAGCGACTTTCTGTGCGAGCTTCTTTGAGCAGTTTGCTGAGTTTGGCCGAACCTACCTTCATGAGGCGATCAATGTGCCTGTTCCCGTCCTGGTCTCCATTCTGCTAGCCTGTTCCTCTTCACTCCTTTTTCCTGCGTCTTTATTGATGATGTAACTTCATCGTGTTGCCTTTTATCTTGAGGACAGGCTCCTTTCTTATACCCTTCTCTCCACAGCAGTTCTTTTCAAAACAACTTTTCATTGGTCAAACAACTTTGAATGTAACAGCAACAGCAAACACCCAGAAACTTCCATGCCTTAATGGCTGGAAAACAAGAGAACCATCTGGAGAACAAGCAACCCTGAGACTGCATGGAGTCTCCTGAATCACCCTTCTTTGTTCCCTCTAAACTCTTTTATATTCCTGATGGCCTCATCGTTAATAGTCTGATGTTATCATCAGCCATGGGGCTTTCCGACCCCCATGGCCACACTCCCACATCTCCCCCTTCTTTATTAATATCAACCATTTTCTTGACACAAAATATTATTCCACATATAACAAACTGGTCCTGCCGATGGACAAGAGCCAAGGAGCAACTGAGTCTGCGCAAAGACAAGAGGTCAGCTAGCGGTGACGAGGAAGAGTCATCAACCTTCATCCCCACGACCCCCGATGACCACCACCAGGATACACTGTGCAAGCGCAGATGGGAGGAGTTTATGGAAATGACTCCTTGGAAATAATTTTAATACGAAGCGGGTTATGCATATGTATAGGCGTATTGGGAAACTTCATGCATATGTAACTCTTTGCTGCATATAACCAAGGCAAGTTGCCTCGTCAGGTGCGCACGACTTTGGTGGGACTACTCCTCCGTGCTGCCCAGCGCTGAATAAACATACCTACTTTACAATTTTACTGATTTTCCGCAAGTCAACTCAGCCTCGGGGACAAGGTGCTTGCAGGTGCCCTGTTGTATCACCAAACTTCCGCATTTCAGGGCAACCAAAGGGCAGATGGAGGTATTTACGTTTATTCATTCCTTTATTAAACCCGAGGTGGCTGTACTTTTTATTATGTGTGCTTTTAGCGTCTGTGCCTCTATCAAGAAAACCTAGTCGTCCCCCACGCCGCTCAAGAGAGCCCGGCCTCCGCTCCCTCCCACCCCGCCCCGCCCCGCCGCTATTTCACCACCGCCATCCCTCTTCCCACCCTGCCTCGTGGCGTCACCGGCAGTGTGACGCTAGCGAGTCACCGGGGCGGTGAGGCGGCGGCGGTCAGACAGACAGACAGACAGACAAGATGGCAGCGCTCGGTGGTGGGGCCGGCGGCGGAGGGGTGCGGCGAGCCTAGCCTAGCGGCCAGCGACGAGCCTAGGGGCCAGCGGTGGGCGGCCGGCCGTTTGGGGGCCGCAAGGTAACGGTTAAGGTTGGGGGAAGGGGAAGGGGAAGGGGGGGGTGGGGGGGGATCCGTCGCCGTTATGGGGCCGGGGGGGTGGGGGGGGGGCGGAAATCCGTCGCCTTTATGGGGCCGGTGGGGTGGGGGGGGCATCCGTCGCCGTTATGGGGCCGGGGGGGGGGGGGGGGGGGGGGGGCTCTTGGGAACATGCGGTGGAGGGGAGCGGGACGGCAGTGCTGCCCGGCCCGGGGCGAGGCAGTGCGTGTGCTCAACCCCTGGGGAGTTCGCCTTTCCGGAAGCTCTGAAATCCAAGTGAACAGAAGCAATCTTCTTTCCTCCAGTACCGAAATCCTTGTTGGAGAGCTCCCAGCTTCTGTTTTGGGGGTTTGGGGGTCAAGTGTTTGGCTTCCTCTTCCCTATGCCGCTCCTGATTTTACGTTTCCACTGTATTATCTTGAATCTTTATATGCTGAAGAGTTAAAGTCTTCTTTATAGGTGGTAGTCCTCTGTGGGAATAGAAGTGTTTTTGCAGAGTTACATTCCTTAGAGTAAAGGAATGTGGTATTGAGATATGCTTGAAGGGATAAGAAAGCTTAGCAGGCAACCTTGTAAATTGCGGACAACCAGACTCCTTAGGACAATTAGGTGAAAATCACGGTGTTAAGTCAAGTCAGATAAGTGAAGAAACATTACCACTTCAAGAAGTAAAAATGACAAAAGAAATTTGAAATTTAACAGGCCAGCCACTGAAGGCCATGCATTGTTTGTGAAGCATCAGATAGACTGTGAACCTGGATTACCTACTCAGTGGGGAAACAGGGGAGGGTCCTGTCATCAAAAAGTATATGAACTGTGTTTTGGAAGTAGTAGAGGCGCGCTCTCCTGCTTGTGGGGCGCCCGCCATTGCAATCGTGAATAAATTACTACTTCACTGAGATCCTCGCCTGAGCCTAAGTTATTGGCTGTGGAGTGTTTCTGACAATTTGGGGGCTCGTCCGGGATCCAGTCACCTACTGGGGAGCCCCACTGCCGCAGCAGCAGGAAGGCATGCCCCGCTGATTTCAGCGGTCCTGTGCATCGACGGTGGAGTTTCTGCGGAGAGTTGACAGAGGGCCCGAGAGTGGTTAAAGAGGCAGGATCCGTGAAGTAGTGGGGGAAGGAAGAAGGTAGGCACTCCGGGGTTTAAGAATTGACCCGGTCACTCTGTGCACAGACCAAGGTAAGAAATACTAAGTATTGCCTTGGGGGTTGCGTGAGACTCTGTGTGATGTGTGAGTGAGACGTACTTTTATACAAAGCGAGTGTGGAGTCCTGATCCGCAGTTCCGTAGCTCTGCGAGGGGTGCGGCTGGAGATGGACGAAGTGTGAGATAAGGGAGAGAAAGGAAGAGTCTCGGGAAATTTGGTGTACGGTAAGCCCTTGCACGGTGAAGTGTTTGGCAGTACACCCCCATTTTCCAGAATCAGAATGTTAGTGTGTGGTACCCTGCAGGAGGGAAATTTCTGTAGCAGCACACCAGCAAGGGCTAGGAAAAATGGGAAACATGAGTTCCAGGGGACAGGGAGGTATCCCTGGGGGAGTGCCTACTGACAGTTCTTCCTGAAGAATGATAAGAAATTGGAAACGTAATCTCAAAATTAGAGGAGATGATAAAAGAAAAAATTGGTCAAATATTGTGTATCAGTCTGGACAAAATTTCCAATTAAGGAAACAGCAGTGTTTTGGCCAAAGTACGGGTCTGATGAAAATTCAGGCTTTAAATTTATATGTAAACAATAAGATTCCTTTTTCGGAGGAGTCAAGTTATGCTCCCTATAATCCTAGTATTGCACCGGTGGCAGCAGCAGTCGCTCCAGGAAGGGAGACGGGGACTGCAATTAACACTGTCCCTAGAGAAGAGTGCGCTCTAGGCTCTGGCAAGAATTAGCACAAGGTAGAAGAGGTACTGAGAACTTTGCCCTCCCTGGTAGGCAAAATTATTGTGGTTAGTATTGGTCCTTCCCATTCAGGCCGGAGTTGATTCTTTCCAGGTCCGAATGAGGACCCAATTTCCTGGCTGATGGTGGTGAATGGAGAATTCCAAAGGTGGGGTTTACCCATGTACTAGGACATGTCAGGACCCATGGGTCCTGAGAGATGACAAAGAAGAGGACAACCCCAGAATACAGTTGGTAAGAAAACTCTCTCGTTTTGAATTGTGGTATCTCATCCCTTCTGCCCAGATAGGGCGACCCGAACAGCATCTCATATGGTGAAATTCCTATATCCTTTCTTGGTGCTGTTTGAACCTGTAGGAGTAAGCATTTTACCCAAGGAAGTTTGGTTTCTAACACTAATTTAGTTAATAGCTTCTTTAATGTCTGGTTCATTTGCTCCACCTTCCCAGAAGGGGAGGGGTGTCAGGGGGTGTGAAAATCCCACTCAGTCTCTAAGGCCTGCTTTAACCCTTGCAGTAAAGCTTACACCCATCCAGTCACGCGGTCAGTTAGGACAAAACTAACTCAGTGAAGTCTACCTGTATACTTTGGAAAAAGTCGAATCCCTGGCTCCCGTCCCCCTCTGGGTGGGTTACGGATGACCTTTTTATTTACCTTTTTGATATATGGTACATCCTCTGCATATGTGCTTCACTGAAGTGTATATTCCTACACAGACATACTTTCTTAGCGCAACATCACACATTGCTTGCACCTCCTGATGACTCTTGATTGTTGCAGGAGGCAGGGCCAAAAGCATGACAGACACCAGTATGGTCAGATCATGCTCCATTTTATTGCCCGAATAGCCTAACTTTTATAGTGAACTTAAAAGGGGCAGATGGTGTTTCACGCAAGATTATTGGTCAAAAGCACTCAGACAAACAACTACAAGAAAACAACCCCACCTGCAAGAAGACAACTCCCTTGTGATTAGCAGTCATGTAGACCTTGTCCTTGAAGCCAGCTGCTGGCAACAATATTTTTAGTTCCTCAATCGGGCGATAAGGGAGCATCATCATGGGAACTCCTCGTAGTTGTCCTGGTAGCTTGGTTTGCTCAGCTGCAGCAAGTCATGGCCTCCTTGCTGTTTCAAAAATCCCTCAACAATTCCCCCTTTTTCTTTTTGAGCAAACCAAGCCTGACGTAACAGTTTTGCAAGTAACCCTTTAACCACATTTATTACAATACAACACGCAATGATGATTAACACCACAACAAACAGAATCCTTAATCCCTCTTTGATTAATCCCAGTAACCATCTAGGCATCGTTTCAAACAAATCAGTGAGCCATTGGTTGAAAGGATTAATATCATACTGAATCTTTCTCATGCGCTCTTTCAGGAAAGTAATGGATTTATGAATTGACTCACTGTGATCAGAAAGGTTTAAACAGCACATTCCCTCAAAGTCCTCACGCCCATGCCCTTGAGCCAGGAGCAAGAAGTCAATAGCAGCTCGATCCTGTAAGAGCGCATGGCGCAGACTATTTTGATCTAGTAACATCTCAAGTATTTCTGTTGTGGCATTGGCTTGCTTCTTGGCCCAGCATGCCAATTTTTCTAAATTATTAAGTGCGGCCACAGCTGCTGCTCCTGGAATGAAAATTGCCAATGCTGCTCTAGCTGCACCACCAAGCAACTCAACATTATCATTGCAATCCGGTGTGAGCAATGCCCATTTATGTCTGGTGATCTTACGCAACTGCGACAAGCTCGGAGCAAACATAGTAAGTTTACCTAAGTAACGTGGACCTCCGATAGCATTTGCAGGGATACCTTGCCAGGCCCTATCCCCACAAATCAGAAAAACATCAGGAGGTAAGGCCATAGCTGTACGATTGTTCCAAATGCTATAGTTGTTACCCCTTGTCTCTGTGCCATAGGCCCCCAAACCCTGCCTAGCAGTGTCATTGTAACTACAGGTGTTACTTGTATTTCTGTACCCGTATGGCCCTTCTAAAGTCACATTTGTCCATCTTGTTGGATTGTGTTTTTTGACAGAATTTAATCTTTGCTGTAAATTTCTGAACACAAAACATGTTTGAGTCCAATTCTGTGATGTGTTTCTGATCCTCTGAGACCCAACTGTAACTCTTGTGGATCCCAAGGCAGCGGGACAGTAAGCGAATTTATTAATTTAATTGAGCACGCAGCTACAGATGAGGCACTGCGGCAATTGTTGGTAGCATACTGGCCAAAATCAGAAGTGTCATACACAGGTATACCTATGAGGCAAGTCCTGAATGGATCTGTGGACAAGGCCATGGACAGATGAAATTCTGATATACCAGTCTGATCAGCCCATGTCACCCAGAGATTTTGTCGCGGCTCGATCTTGGTCACGAGCGCAAGCACTGCTGGCGGTATTAGAATCACCATCAGCAACTTCCCCGTCCCTTGAGACATCTTGGGCGGCCTTCAAAAATTGGCTTGGTACCCAAACTGGTCCTGCTCAGCATACTGTGAGTCTGATACAATATTGCGTCCCGCGTCTATCCGCATCTCTGTTCAGCATCTCACTGCGTAGCACAATCACACAGTCACACAAAGAGGCCTCTTGCACTTCTCATTCATACCACAAGAAAATATCGCTTAAAATAATTTGTCCACGGCTTCAGGAGGTCCTTGTCTACTCCCTTGGTGAGCGGCTGAGAGTGGAGACCCCTCCGAAGAAAATGCTGGGGGTGCACCTAGGGGCATCCGCTCCACAGTCGATCCCGCAGCTGAGCAGAGCGGCTCCTGGCGCAAGGAATGATGCTATTATAGTTTTGTATAATTGCACCAAAGAGATACATTGCAATAGGGAGCAAGTGTGGCTTTGACGATTTGTTTCATGGTTTGTTTTTTTTTCGCGAGCAATTGAACCTTACACATGCTGTTGCTGTTACACTTCCCAGGATATCTAATTCCTGTGGCTCTGCATGTGAATAACACAATACAGGTGCACTTGCTGCTCTACCGAAAATAACAGCTCCTTAAATTTTAGGAACAAGTTTTCCTTTGGGATATGTCTCAAATGCGCCCTCTCAATGTGCCGAGCAACGTCTATAGCATACTGCGAGTCGGATACAGTATTCAAAGGTACTAGGTTTTTCTTTTTCTTTTGATGCGTCTCTCCGCATCCCGCATCTCACTTTTTTTTTTTTTTTTTTGTCCATTATATTCAGAATCAATTATCCTCGGCAAAATAAACAATCTGGTTAAAGTTGTACTTGATCGACCTAACAGCAATACACTACAGTTATTCCCAATTGGTCCTTTGACGTTCAATGGAACTTTATGAACGCGAGTACCCCACAAAGTGGTGTCTGTTACTGTGGAGACATCCACTCCAGCACTCCCTCTGGTTCTTGCTGAGAGGGTGTCCACGGTGGTAACCGTGGCAGCAGGGCTGCAGCATGGAATCTTACCCCACGGGCTGCAGGGGGACAGCCTGCTTCACCATGGTCCTCATCACAGGCCACAGGGGACTTCTGCTCCGGCGCTTGGAGCACCTCTCCCCCTCCTTCTTCACTGACCTTGGCACCTACAATGCTGTTCCTCACTCCTCTCACTCTCCCAGCTGCTGTGAAGTGCAGCACTTTTGTTGTTATTGTTGCTTTTTCTCCCTTTCTTAAATATGCTCTTACAGAGGCGCAAACAACATCACTTATTGGCTCGGCTCTGGTCAGCACCAGGGTCCTTACCTAACATGAGGCAGCTTCTAGATTCTTCTCACAGAAGACACCCCTATGGCCCCCTATTACTAAAAGCTTGCCACGTAAACCCACTACATTCCACCCCTCGCCTTTCTGAAAAGCATATTTAGAATAATCACAATATACTCTTTACAGTTATCACAATCTTCACAAACTTCACTTCCATCAAAAAGAAAAGGAATTCCCCACACCAAAATGAAAATAACATCATTACAACACCGACGAGGTGGACAATTTACACACACCCCACCCCTCGTCCCTTCACCACACTAATATGAAACATATTCCTCACAACTGCTGCTTTCTTAAATTCTGCACAACTAATACATTCATAAAAAAAATCCATTCCATGTTTTGTCTGTTACTTCTCTTGACTGTCACCCTTATTTCAATTTCCTTGAGCCTGTTATAAATGAAGTCTCAACTCAATCTGAATTTTGTAATATTTATAAAACAAATATTTCTAAAAGGTATAAAAGGCAAGTAAACAGCACTGGGTATGCGGGGAGTCTACGCTCCACCAACACGCACACACGAACATCAAACATTCTAAATATACAGAACATTGCTTTACATACTAAACCCGATATGCCTATACATACGTACAATCAGGAAAGGTAACAAACAATCCTTTAAGTTCCATAACTTACTAAAATCGAGTACGCCTATACATATGTACAATCAGAAAAGGTAACAAACAATCCTCCAAGTTCCATGACTCCACAGTCTCCATTTTCCACTCCTTTTCTTGATTACATACTAGTCTCCATTTTCCATTCCCTTTGAACAATATGTCTCGCTTTAAGTTGTCAAGCAACTCGGTCTTCAGGCCTTATGTATCCCGTTCTTCCCAGATCGAAGAAAAGCATATCCATCTCCTTTTCAAGGCCAATAGGGCCCGGGTCAAAAGGCACGTTCAGGTCAAAGGGGGCGTAACAGCAAAAGCCTTCGATGGCTGTAGCAGCAGAGGGGCCGATGGCAGTAGCAGTCAGATCAGTAAAGGGTCCCACAGCTCCCTCACTATCTGGCAAACCACACGTGTCTGACTGTGGTCCCACATGGCTCTTTAAGGCCTCAGAGACTGCTTGCCAGGTGCCGAGCAATCCCACTGCAACCTTTTCGTTTTTAGTTGCAGAGTCCCACACCTTGACCTCAGTTTGGTCCCATATTTCAGGATCATCAACTGTCCGATTGTTAATAAGGAGAATAAGCTTGTAAGGTTACCAGGACAGTCTTTGTTTCTAAGGACGTGTGATTCCCCATAATGCACAACTGCTTACCAGCAAGGGGCAGTTGTGTGCGCGGGTCTGCTTCTCTCAGCTTGAGCTTCTTCCCAGTTCCGGTGTGCCTATTTCCAGCGACTTTCTGTGCAAGCTTCTTTGAGCAGAACAAGAAACCGGAGACTGCATGGACTCTCCTGAATCACCCTTCTAGAGTTCCCTCTAAACTCTTTTACGTTCCTGATGGCCTCATCCTTAAGAGTCTGATGTTGTCATCAGCCATGGGGCTTGCCAACCCGTATAGCCACATTTCCCCCTTCTTTATTAATATCAACCATCTTCTCAACACGAATTATTATGCCATATATCACAACACCCTTCCTTTAAGGTAACGTTTGCATCTGGAATCCACAGTAGAAACATCGAGGCTGAAGAATAAGACCTCATTTGGGGAGTGATGGGTTTGAAAGTTAGATTGGTTTCAAATTGTTCTTTGAGCATTGACTGCTGCTGGTGGGTGTGTAGCAGGTAATTTCATGGGTGTGAAGATTGCCTGTTGGGCAGGACAGTCTATCAGCTGGAGGGCTCCAGAAACAAAGGGCAACTCTGAATCTTTGTTATGCATAACGTCAAAGGGGGGCTTACAGATGGAGTTATTCAGGGAAATAGGCTGTGGTGTTCTAAGGAAGATCTTGTGATGCTCTTGTACTTGCTTTAGCTGCTAGACTAGGTTATTGAGAGCGCCACAAGCATCCTGTAGTGGGGTTTTAGCTGACTGATCAACAAATATTCTGCAGCTCGCTCTAGTTTCAAAACGGCTCTCTTCTCAGGATAGCCCTGAGAAGGCCTTCTGTGTTAAAAGCTGTCTGAATAATCATGCATTTAACATCTTAGCCATGTAGGATTTGCGTTGACTTCTCAAATTAAAAACAAACAAACAAAAAACATACACACAGATGTTGTTGATTAAATTCTGTGGTTGCTGGATGAAGACTCTGGTTAGCATTGTTTCCTTGTGCATATCCAAAAACTTGAGGTCTTCCTACCAGTTACTGTGTACCAGCATTGTGTATTGTTATTGGTTTACTACCCAGCATATCTAGACAAGTGCCATGCTGGCTGTGCATACCCAATATCATAGTATCCCTTTTTAGAGCAACAGGGATTAAACTGAAGAGGATCAGTGTGGTATTTCCAGTGGGAAGGGTTATTAATGCTAGGGGAGGCAGGGTGTGCTCGGTGAGGCTGGGAAGGAGCAGTCTCGGAGTGCTATAATCTATAGCCTGGCCTTCCTAATCAACCTGGCTGCTTCTTGGCTATTTGGATTGTCAGACTCTGAGCAAAGTTATTTATTCACTCGGTCAGTTCTTGTTGCTATAAAATACGTTTTGCTGTCTAACATAGCAAGTGTCAGCAGCTTGTCCAATATTACAGAGATAAGATTGTAGGCTTATGCAGTGCTATATGTATTAAGTTGCTAAATCAATTTTAAAATGTTTTTCAGGTTCTAAATGGCTTCTAAGAAGTTGGGGTCTGACTCTCATGGTAAGTGGAATTTGATATCCTTGTCCTATCAGTAGGATGAATCTTACTGTTGCTGCTGAGTAATGTCCTGGCCATTGAGGCTAATCTGTTCATCCCCTGACTGGCTTTTTTGTTAGGAATGAAGTGCCTTGGCTTCCTTCTTGCATAGCTGCTTGCTAATGCTGTGCCCGTTCTCTAGTTAAACTGAAGTTCAGCATATGACTATCCCCCATTATCCCTGCCCCTCTCTTATGGCCGAATAATACCTCCTGAGAAATCCCCTTCAAAATCAAAGCTGAACTGTAGTTTTGGTGCTCATGTGATGCTCGCTGAAGCAGATGCTAGATCTGCAGCCTCTTACTATGAAAGTCAAGTGAGAAGCTGGATTGCAAGTCAAGCTTTTAATATATCATTGGGTTGTTTTTTGCTCAGCAATTAATTTATTCCTAAATTGGACTCATCTGGCTTAGTAGCCTGCAGTTGGGTGAGTGATCTTTCCTACATCTGAGATGTGTAATGTCGTGCAGATGATTAGTGTCATAAGAATTTTGCGCTGCAGTGTGTGTTTCTTTTAGAAAATGGGGTATCAGTTTGAGAGGACTCATTTCCCTGAAGCTCATTTTTTGTATGTGTAACATAGATTATTAAAATGAGTAATCAATTAAAGCCATGCTGGGTGGTTCAAATGAAATTTCTAAAAATCAGCCTATTAAATAACAGTTAGAAAATCTTTAATTGCTTTGCTTAATGTAGTGGGTTTATGTGGCAAGGTTTTTGTAGCAGGGGGCCATAGGTGTGGCTTCTGTGAGAAGAATCTAGAAGCTATTAGCTTATGTTAGATAAGGGCCCTGATGCTGACCAGAGCTGAGCCAATAAGCAATGGTGTTTGCGCCTCTGTGAGAGCATATTTAAGAAAGGGAGAAAAAAACAACAACAAAACACACTGCTACACAGCAGCTGGGAGAGTGAGAGGAGTGAGGAACAGCCTTGCAGGCACCAAGGTCAATGAAGAAGGCAGGGGAGAGGTGCTCCAGGCGCCGGAGCAGAAGCCTCTGGCAGCCTATGGTGAGGACCATGGTGAAGCAGGCTGTCCCCCTGCAGCCCGTGGAGTACCATGATGGAGCAGGGTTCCACGCTGTAGCCTGTGGAGGAGAGCATGGTGGAGCAGGTGGACCTCCACCGACGGAGGCTGCCGCCTGTGGAGGACCCCCGCTGGAGCAGATTCTGGGCGGGAGCTGTGGACCGTGGAGAGGAGACCACACAAGAGCAGGTGACCTGGCAGGAGCTGCTGCCCGTGGGGGACCCAGTTTCACAGAATCACAGAATTTCTAGGTTGGAAGAGACCTCAAGATCATCGAGTCCAACCTCTGACCTAACACAAACAGTCCCCACTAAACCATATCCCTAAGCTCTACACCTAAACGTCTTTTAAAGACTTCCAGGGATGGTGACTCCACCACTTCCCTGGGCAGCCTGTTCCAGTGCCTAACAACCCTTTCAGTAAAGAAGTTCTTCCTAATATCCAACCTAAAACACCCCTGGCGCAACTTCAGCCCATTCCCCCTCGTCTTGTCACCAGGCACGTGGGAGAATAGACCAACCCCCACCTCGCTACAGCCTCCTTTAAGGTATCTGTAAAGAGCAATAAGGTCACCCCTGAGCCTCCTTTTCTCCAGGCTGAACAAGCCCAGCTCCCTCAGCCGCTCCTCGTAGGACTTGTTCTCCAGACCCCTCACCAGCTTCGTCGCCCTTCTCTGGACCCGCTCAAGCACCTCGATGTCCTTCTTGTAGCGAGGGGCCCAAAACTGAACACAGTACTCGAGGTGCGGCCTCACCAGAGCCGAGTACAGGGGGACGATCACCTCCCTAGCCCTGCTGGCCACACTGTTTCTGATACAAGCCAGGATGCTGTTGGCCTTCTTGGCCACCTGAGCACACTGCTGGCTCATATTCAGCCGACTATCCACCCTCACTCCCAGGTCCTTCTCTGCCTGGCAGCTTTCCAACCACTCATCTCCCAGCCTGTAGCTCTGCTTGGGGTTATTGCGCCCCAGGTGCAGGACCCGGCACTTGGCCTTGTTGAACTTCATGCAGTTGACCTCAGCCCATCGGTGCAACCTATCCAGATCCTCCTGCAGAGCCTTCCTACCCTCAAGCAGAACGACACACGCGCATAGCTTGGTGTCATCTGCAAACTTACTGAGGGTGCACTCAATGCCCTCGTCCAGATCATCAATGAAGATATTAAAGAGGACCGGTCCCAGCACCGAGCCCTGGGGAACGCCACTAGTGACTGGCCTCCAACTGGACTTGACTCCATTTACCACGACTCTTTGGGCCCGGCTATCCAGCCAGTTTTTAACCCAACGAAGCGTGCGCCAGTCCAAGCCAAGAGCAGCCAGTTTCTTGAGGAGAATGCTGTGGGAGACGGTGTCAAAAGCCTTGCTGAAGTCAAGGTAGACCACATTCACAGCCTTTCTCTCATCTACTAAGTGCGTCACTTTGTCATAGAAGGAGATCAGGTTCGTCAAGCAGGACCTGCCTTTCATAAACCCATGCTGACTGGGCCTGATCACCTGCTTGCCCTGCAAGTGCTGCGTGATGACTCTCAAGAGGATCTGCTCCATGAGCTTCCCTGGCACTGAGGTCAAACTGACAGGCCTGTAGTTTCCCGGGTCTGCCCTCCGGCCCTTCTTGTAGATGGGCGTCACATTTACTAGCCGCCAGTCAACTGGGACCTCCCCCGATAGCCAGGACTGCTGATAAATGATGGATAGTGGCTTGGCCAGCTCCTCTGCCAGTTCTCTCAGTACCCTTGGGTGCATCCCATCCGGCCCCATCGACTTGTGCACATCCAAGTGCCATAGCAGGTCGCCAACCATTTCCTCGTGGATAGTGAGAGCCACATTCTGCTCCCCATCCCCTTCCACCAGCTCAGGGTACTGGGTATCCAGAGAACAACCGGTATTGCCGCTAAAGACTGAGGCGAAGAAGGCATTAAGCACCTCCACCTTTTCCTCATCTCTTGTAACTAAGTTTCCCCCCGCATCCAGTAAAGGATGGAGATTCTCCTTAGTCCTCCTTTTTGTGTTGATGTATTTATAAAAACATTTTTTGTTATCTTTAACGGCAGTAGCCAGATTGAGCTCCAGATGAGCTTTGGCCTTCCTAATTTTGTCCCTGCACAGCCTCGCAACATCCTTATAGTCCTCCCTAGTGGCCTGCCCACTTTTTCAAAGATTATAAACCCTCTTTTTTCTCCTAAGCTAAGGTTGGAGCAGTGTGCTCCTGAGGGATGGACCCCGTGGTACGGACCCATAACTGGAGCAGTTCTGGAAGAGCTGCTGCCTGTGGGAAGCCCATGCTGGATCAATTTGGGAAAGACAGCATCCCATGGGAGGAACCCCATGTGGAGCAGGGGAAGAGAGTGACCGAGACAGCTCTTCATCTCCACCACTCTATAGACTGACCATAACCCCCATTCCTCTGTGCTGTTCGCGTGGAGGAGGTGGAAGAGGGCGGATTTGGGGGAAGGTGTTTTTGGTTTCTTTCCTTTGTTCCTCACTTCTCTAGCTTGTTAGCAATAGGCAATAAATCTTACTGTCTCCCTACTCTGAGTCTGTTTTGCCCGTCACGATAACTGTTGAGCGATCCCCATCCTTATCTCAAACCCTTGAGCCCTTTGTGTTGTATTTTCTCCTCCTCCTCAAAGAGGAAGGAGGGAGTGAGAGAGTGGCTGAGGTGGAGCTCAGCCTCCCACCTGAGTAAAACCACCACATGTTACCATCGAAACAGTGGCTTGGGTGTTACTTTGTATATGTTGTTTTTGCTTTTTGTATTGAATTTACTGTTAGAAGACAAATTGAGTATTCAGGTAGTAAGGTCATCTATTTAAAAAAAAAAAAAGGTGAAGGATTCTTTACTTTCTGGGTCAGTTTTCAGGTTTTCCTAGACTAGTACTGTTGTGATTGGGCTGAATGCTATGAGCATCAGTGTTTTTGCTTCAGAAACACTTTTTTATTCTATGAACTGTTCTAAAACAGTTGGTGTCTCAGCACATGCTTGATGTTTTTGTAGCAGGATTGTATTCAAGAGAAGGTTATAGCAGTGTATTAGAAAATTAACATACTGGGAAGAAACAAGAAAGTTTTTATTCCTTAGTCTAGGTGCTGAGGTTAAACTGACAGCCGTCAGTTCAGCTCATCTAGTCTGGGTGCACTTAGTTTTTTTACTATCCCAAAACAAGGGATGTTGCTCTGTAAATACCACAGCATGTGCTCTATGGCTAGTGTGTATTTCAGGCAAACAAGAGGGCTGTGGAAGGGGAGGTGTCTCCTACTTACTGTGTCAATAGGTCTAATAAGACAAGTATTTGCATACTGAGCAATTTGGGCTGTGAGACTGGTGCAAAGAGGTAATCGTGCTTGGCTTGTGTGCTTGGATCATCCCAGTTAGAGCAGGACTTGTAGCAGCGGGACTAACCAGGGCATGGTAGCAGCAGGCTAGCTTGACTCTGAGCGTTTAGGAGGGGATAAGGCTGTCTCTGACCTGGCCATGATGTAAGTATAAGTGCAAAGGCTGCCACAATTGCTACTTCTGCATCAACACACACGGTTGTATCCAAGTTCTCACACTGCCAGCTCAAATACTGTTTGGGTGTTGTGGTGGTGGCTAGCGAGGTGCAGTTTGGATGCTGTGCTGTGTACTGCTTCTCAGTAAGGACCAGTGAAAATATTGTTATATTCTGCCTGGAGCGCTCTTTTGTTTTGGTAGTGTAATAAATGGCTCAGTCTTCAAAATAGGACTATAATCAAAGTTTACAATTTATTAAAGGAATAGAGGTAAGCAAACAGTGCTGGGTGCGCCGGGAGTCTCTGCTCCACCAAGACGCACACCAGTCACATGAAGCAGCTGATTTTTATGCTCCTAGGCTAATACATATGCATTACTACTTCTAAAAAAAACCACAGGGTTATTATAATTAGTTTCCGGAATCCAAACCCTCCTACTGGAGCATGCGTATCAGTCTCCGGTGGTCCCTCTGGGGGTCTCTCGTGCTGAAGGCTCATAGTCTTCCTCCCTCTTGTCCTTCTCCTTTGTCCAACTTGGCTGTATGTCAGAGACTTGTGCAACATCCCCTGCAAGCTTTGTCTTTTAGGTTTTCTTCAGCTCTCCCCATCTCCTTAATCTCCTGGCCAGATATCAGAAACTTGCATAGTGTCCCATGCAATAGTCATAATAGTTAGAAGTTATTCTGAAACTCCCCAGATATCAGAGACTTCAAGGAAAAAACTACAAATACATTTCCCTTCAAGCTCTCTATTGACACGAATTGCTAAAACATTCCTTTGCAAGATACAGGAACTATATACATTAACCACTCTGTTTTTCTTAGACTTGTGCTTATACAAGGGTATGTAAGACAGAAGGTCACATTCATCATACCATGTTGCCCTAGCACTGTTCCATACTGACACGAATCAGATGAACATATCTCACAATCCCCCATCTCCTTTTTCATGGCATTGATTTGTGTTTTCCTTTCTAATCAAGTCAATACTTGCCCAATTGATGCCAATTGAAACCAATTCTGGATCTTTATTTGGTTTTATTATCATCAGGTAATGGGTTTTCTCTTTTCCTGGTGCTGGGTCAACAGGTACCGCAGATATTTGCATTCCTTGTATAACCGAGTGTATTAGTCTGGTAATACAGGGTATTAAACACGGAATTATTAACAATCCTCCACATATCCCCAATACAACCACCCTTATTTTAGCAAACCAATAACCACCCATAAACCCCCTTCCATAATCCTCTTAGATCGATTCCATTCCAAATTTGAACCGGGACACGTGCACTTTTCTTCATTTCTTTTACAAGTTCATTTACAGCTTTTCTTTCTGTTGTGGTTTAACCTAGCGGGCAGCTAAACAACACACAGCCACTCGCTCACCTCCCCCCTTCCTTCTCTAGGATGGGAGAGAGAAATGGGAAAGTGAAGCCTGTGAGTTGAGATAAAGACAAGAAAATATTAATAACAATAATAATAATGACAATAATGATGATAATAGTATTACTAGTAATAATGTGTATGAAACAAGTGATGCACAATGCGATTGCTCACCACCTGCTGTCTGATACCCAGCCTAACCCCGAGCAGTCCGGCCCTCCTCCCAGCTCTTGCACCCCCAGCCTGGCCACTGGCAGGACAGAGTGAGAAGCTGAAACATCCTTGGCTCGCTGTAAGCATTGCTCGGCAACAATTAGAACATCAGCATATTATCAGCACTCTTCTCATCCTAAGCCAGAACATAGCATTCTACCAGCTACTAGGAAGAAACACCCTCATCATCAGTCTTTAAACAGCAATTACTAAAGTTAATTTTTCCACAGACTTCTCCTTCTTGTGCTAGTAAATAATCCAAAGCTAAGCGATTTTGATACAAAGCAGTTCTCATCTTGGTATTTTGCTTTGCAATTAATCCAAGTGCATCTCCGGTTTTATTTATAACTATTTCTATTACAGCTTGTAACCTAATTATTCTATTAAGTATATATACTGGGGTCCTATAGCCCCAGGATCCATCTTCTGCCCACGTAGCTGGATCATAATAGGCAAACACCTTCAATCAAGGGGTTGGGCCCGCTTTCAGGGTCCATTTGGGCTTGTGTTACCATTCAGCCTGTCAGGGTGATCCAGCTCCTGGAAAACGAATCACAATTTTATATGGGTTTAAAAAAAAAAAAAAAGGTTCTTATGTTATTTTCTTGGGACAACCTGACCTTAGTGTGGGAGAAGTCCGGTCGAGGCCCTCTCACTCGGCAGTCAATACCCATAGGGGTTGCCTCCCTCGGTAGACCATACACACCACAGTGGAGGGTCCTGCCCCGGTCTTGCCTTCTCCCTTTCCTCCCTTCAGGCTTGTCCCCTTTATTTGGCATCCTTAATTCATGCAGAGCCTCGTTGCCAGAATATTAGTTGTTCTTTAGCTTGAGTTTCAGAAGCGGACTCAACCCTCCAGGTTTCGGTAGTTACTGGTCCTTTTATTCTGGATGTGTGGGTCCAACCCTTTTCTGCGGTTCTCACAGCTGTTTCTGTAGTAAGTAAAGCAAGGTACAGTCCCTCCCATCGGGGGTTCAGTGATTCTTCCCTCCAGGTTTATTTATTAAGACCTTGTCTCCTGGTTGTGTCTTATGAATAGCAAATCCTAAAGGTGGTGTTTGAGGCATCATTCCAGTTTCTCTTAGCTCTTGTAATCTCCTTCCAAGAGTAATTATATATTTCTGGATGCTACAATCCTCAACTACATTGTTCCCTAGAGTCATCACTTGAGAATAAGGCATATCATATAACATTTCATATGGTGATAATCCAGTCTCACTGTGTGGTTTATTTCTTATGTTTAAAAGTGCCAATGGTAAGCATTTCGTCCAGGGCATTTGTGTCTCGATCATTAATTTAGCCAATTGTTGTTTTATTGTTTGATTCAGTCTTTCTACTTTTCCTGAGCTTTGTGGGTGCCACGGAGTATGGTATTCCCACTGAATACCTAATGATTTCCATAATAATTTTATTATTTTAGAAGTAAGGTGTGTGCCCTGGTCAGAATCAATGTACTGGATTATCCCATATCTAGGTATCAGGTGTTCTAATAGAATTTTTACCACCATTTGTGCCATAGCTCGTGCTACGGGATAAGCTTCTACCCATTGTGTTAAATGATCTACTATTACCAATAGATATTTTATCCTCTCTACTTTGGGCAATTCAGTGAAACCAACTTGTACTTTCTCAAAAGGCCTATAAGCTGTTTTGTTTTGTTTCTCCCTCCCGTGGCTGCTTGTTGAAACACTTTCTTATTTATCTTCTTACAAGTTAAGCAACGGTTATGTAATTTGCTTTGCTATTTCAAAAAAAAACAATGCAACCAAATTGTTTTAGTAAATGATCACTTAACACCTTTGTACCCCAATGTGTTTGTGCATGCAAACGTCCCAATATTTGCTTTGCATAAGCTTTTGGCAGTATCTCTCGCCTGTCTGGCAGCGTCCATTTTCCTTGTTCTAATTTAGCCCCTATTTTCTCCAGTTTCGTTTGTTTGTTTTGTTTTGTTTTCCATTGCATTTCATAGTCGGTCCAAAAATTCCATAGGGGTTTCTTTTGGATTTTGTTGGAACAGATTCTCAATTCCCAATTTAACCAGATTTTGGTATTTATCGTTCATTATTTCCGGGGTGACTATAGTCTCAGCATGGGGTCGGTCAGGGGAATGCAATTGTCAACAGTTCCCTGAGCGGTCCCATTGGCAATCTGAGCTCACTCATAAACTCAGATTGTTTTAAGAGTTAACTGCTTTTCTGTTTCCGTGACAACTCTCTGACTGTCATGGTCCCTCTGCCCCAAAGGGCTCACACCGGTGATTTTGAGATCACAGCCTCCCATTGAGGCAGAACTATTAACATTCCTACATCCTCTTTCCCTGCTCATTCAACTTCAAACAGCTCTGTTAAATACTACATGCCACACCTTTAACACCTTCAACAACTCTTTTAACCCTTCCTTTATTTTTCTCCAGCCTGTACTTTTCTCATGCCAACACCAAAGGCTAAGTCAGGGGCCAACTTGCATGTAATTCCACTCCTTTTCCCTCTAAGATGCTGAAACAACATATCAGTATACTACATTTCATCCTATTTTTCTTCTCTCCTCAGAAACAACATTAATTTAATTGCAAGATAGTGTTATAGTCGATTGATCCATAAAGTGGCCATTCACTTTATATAGTGGCCACCACTGATTGCAATATTTAGTGAAAGTCCTCTTGCTTTCTGTGTCCCCAGTTCTAACAATATCCTTTGAATGTGACAATATGCACCCGAGGAGGCTTTCTTTAAAACATCTTTGTTTTGGATATTACCCATTTCCTTGATTTCCCATTCCCTTTTATTTGTTTGTTTATTTATTTATTTAGTATTATTCCTTTCTAGTTACTGTCCTTTGTTTCAATTTCCACGCAAACCTTTTTACTGCGGGTTTTTACAATCTTTTCCTAATCTCCTTCCCAAATGTCCCAATTCTCTGGGATTAAACTCTTCTTCCCACATACAAACTTCACTATTTCAAATTATTAACGAGCCCCGTTTCAATCATAAATCCACGGAACTTCAGGAAAACAGCTGAAGCACTCAGCCTTCCGTCTTCTAGACAAACATTACCACCTTCTCCACAAAAATTTACATTTCAACAGGACCGAATTTCAAGCCAAATGCCAATTTTTCTCATGCACTTTGTTAGTAAGCCCATACAAAACAAGGAATCACTCCTGTGTATCCGTCAATAGGGGGGTTTAAAAGGTATTGATGCCTAAATAAATTCGCTCCCCCCCCCTCTTACCAAATTCCCAGGGCTCAAGCCCGAACCACCAAAGAAATGACTCTCTCGGTTCTGCTTTGATAATCAGTCAACCCCCTCCCCCCCCCGCCAGTACTTGGGAAACTGACCAACACCACAGCAAACCACAGCAAATATACCAGCACTTCTCAACTGTTAGTTACTTCGATAATGCTCCCACCTTTCTTGTCACACTCAAAGCATTTAAGAGCAAAAATAGGATCACAAGATACACTGCCAGGCCCATATATTGGGCACCACCACTCAAAACTTGGATAAAACAGCACTTCTTTTTGGTTTCTCACGCACTTCGTTCGTCTCCGCCCACTCCCCTTGCGGAGAACATGGAACTGCGGATCGGAACTCCGCACTCGCTTTGCAGCGACGCTGCGTCTCACTCACACAGCACAATCACACAATCACACAGAGAGGCCTCTAGCACATCTCATTCATACCACAAGAATATAATTTAGAATGATAACCAACCAAACGAGTATTGTCTCTGACTGTGTTCTTCGTGGAGTGACTTATTCCACTTTGTTTCAAACCCTTCCACTTACACAAATACTTTCAACACAAAATACCTGGACATTTAAGAATAAGACATACAATTATTAACATTCCAGTTAGTATCCCTCCAGCAGCTGAAAACATACCGTTTGTCCGCAGCCTCAGGAGATCTTTGTCTGCTCCTGCGGTGAGCGGCTGAGAGTGGAGTCCCCTCCGAGCAAAACACTCAGGGTGCACCTAGGGGCGTCTGCTCCGCAGCCGATCCTGCAGCCGAGCAGAGTGTCTCCTGCCTGGCTCACCAAAATGACTCACAGAAAGCTGACTCCACAATCAGTAAGATTGTAAAGTAGGTATGTTTACTCAGTTCTGGGCGGCACGGGGGGGGGTAGTCCTGCCAAAGTCATGCACGCCTAATGTGACAACTTGCTTTGGTTATATCTAGTAGAGTTACATATACATGAAGTTTCCCAACACTCCTATACATATGCATAACCTGTCCCTTTGTGAACAGTCCTCCTTATCTCAGACCCCTTGGTTAAAGTCCGAACCATGAGGTTGTTTTGATCTGGTTCTTGGGGTCTGAGAGGCTCCTGTTATCTGGAGGTCTAAGCGCAGCACAGGCATAGTACATCACAAATGTAGCACATACTCATTCTTAATCAATTGCTCTCTAATTTCTAATTCCATGTTTCAGCTGCAGCATACTTGCTCTCTTCCGGATCCGCGGGTATTCTACTATTAACATTAATGTTCAAAGCCTGACAGACCCTGTCCTCCGTGGACCCAAATATCAACCAAAATACATGGGGTCTTAAGGGTTCTTTTGGTGTTTCTATCATATAATAATGGACCATTTTTAATTTACTTTTTCATTTTCTGGGGCCCCTATTGTTCCAATTTCTAATCGTTATTCCTAATGGACTTTCTGATAATTTGCTCCCTTTCTTCTGGTCCTTGGTCTTCAATTCTGTCTGACCCATCTAGGAATTTTACTATGGCAATTCCCACAGCCCTTGGTTACCTTAGTAAGAGTGTCTTGCAGGGGGTTTAGGACCTATCACCCACCCACGAATCCTATAGGAATCACTTCCTTCACTGGCCAAGTCCCTCATGGGAGATTGGAACCGCGGTTAGAAGACCTCCACACTGACTTCGGAAGTCTAAGTTACACTCTTACACACACAGGCAACCGAATCCCACCGAACCAAACGGTATACTCCTTAAACACTTACGACTCCATTGTCTTCGTTCGGATCTTCGCGTGCAGAATTACGGGCAAAATACAGTGCTGCAGCCGGCAAGGGAGCTCATAAAAAAAAATCAAATTCTTTGCTTACCTTTATTCAGGCCCAACAGGGCTCTGGGACCAGCCGATGCAGTTTATAGCATGAGAGGTCAACTGATGACAGCACATAAACATTTGATTCCAAATTAACAGGATATTCCTGTTCTCAAAAGCTGCTTGTCCTCTTGGAGCTTTTGGCTGTGTTATTGTAAATTAGTCAACAGTGAAGGAGCACAAATAGTATTTAAACTGTCATCCAAGTATGAAAATGGGTCAGATAAAAATGGCAAGTCACAGCTCACTGAGCAAGAGGTTAGTCACCAAACATCTCATGTTGCCACTAATGTCTTGTCGGATCTGTAGCATTCAGAGCAAAGTTCCAAATGATAATAACAATTTGAAGTTTTTGTCTAGTAATATACAGTCAAAAACCTTGCCTGTAATTCCAAAAGGTTAGACCAGTTAATCTAGAAACTGGCTACAATTTACGTTATGGGTTTTCTCACACTTCTTCACAGCAGCTCATGGAAAAAACAACAACTTTAGTCTGGCTTCTTGGAGGAGCTTGAGTTGTTGGTGATTCTGCCTAGTGAGCTTGCAGGGTGCTTGAAAAGTTTTTGTCCTAAAACACTATAAATGATACACGTAAGTGACAGATGTAAAGCACAGATGGAGGACCATGGAATAAGTTTGTGGCCCCTCACTGGAGTGATCACAAATCAGACTGGATCCAGTTAGATTGCCTTGTTTGAAAAGTCAGAATTGCTACACTGAATATTCTTGAGCTATTTCACTGTGTTTTGTTTAAAGCGGATCTCCTGGACTTGGCCACTTTGTCCTTGTGACCACTTCTGTCCAAATGTTACTTTCCACTTGTATGTCAAAACTTTTTTTGTTTCTTAGCTGCTCTAGAGCTGGGTCATTTTAAAACTTGCTTTGAATATAACAAAAACTGATGGCTCCTTCTATAGAGGCATAACAGAACGCAACATTCAGGAGAGCTTCAATTTCTGGTTGTGTAGGCATAGTGTTGTCATGAGGGAAGCTAAGATGCTGGAATATTAACTTCAAAATCTGCTTAGCAATTGGAGTGTTTTAAAATATAGTTATGGACTAGAATATTCTTTTAAAAATAATAAAACTGAAGCAATGAAGTCCAGGCATATTCAGTGTGTTTCTTATCACTCAACTTCCTTTGTATTGAGTCACATTGTGTGGTTGGGGTAGCAGAGAAAGAGTAGCTGCCAAATACAGAAACATGAGATTTAACTGAATGCATCAAATTTGTAAGGTTCTTGATACAATTTCTTCTTGTGATCTTAGGGCCTTTCAGTTATCTCGACGACGTCCCATTTAAGATAGGAGACAAATTTAAAACCTCTTCGAAGGTTGGATTACCCATTGGTTTCTGCCTGCCTGATTCTTCTCAGCTTGTCAGAGAAGCCCAGGTAAGGATGGTTTGTGTACTTCTGCTCTTTCCTCTGTGACCTTAGGTCTTCAACGTGTGATTCTGTGAACTATATTTTGTTCAGGTGTTAGTCTTCACCGTGCTATACTGTTATTTCATAGTCTGCTAGAATGTAGAGGAAGATAATATTGTAAGCCATGCAAAAGTTTGTACTACTTATCACTATAAAAAGTCTGATGGCATTTATTTTAATGTATCTACTCCAAAAAAACCCACAGTGTTCTTGTGTAACAGATAAAGGTTTAAATGCTACCCTGACATTGCTAAACTAAGTTGTATTTTTAAGAGGAAAGATGGTAAGAATTGAAACACCAATGCTATGGCATACCCTCAAACAGGGTTCTACAAGTATGAACATATTCTGTGCTATCTCTGTTTTCCAGCCAAGCTGGGGTTCAAATACAGTACGCCTGGTTGGATTGCAATGCCTCAAATAAAATGATGTGATCATGTAGGCTATGCCTTGCACAGAACTACTTGGCTTTTTTTACAGTTCTGGTGGGAGCTATTCAAAATAGTAAAAGTGCATGGAGGCTAAATTGACCAAAGCCATGTACCTAGTATTTCATGCTTCTAAACGTGTGTTTGTATGTATACAGCTATGATAGCTCTGCTCAGATGGCAAAGTGTGGAATGAATAGTGCCCAGCACTTCTGCCAGTGAGTTGTGTTTCAAAATCACCTTGTTGATAAATTGCATGTCCCATCTCTTAGAGCTAAGGGAAGGGAAAACTACTTAGTATAGAGTTGAGATAGGTCTCCAGGTTCTCTCTGGAGCCTGCTATGGGATGGATAGCACAGTGTGAGCCCCAGAAAAGCCCAGCAGAGGCGTAGCAAACCTTCCAACTTGTTGCTCTTCAGAGCTAGGATAGGATGTCTTATTACCCGTTCGGTTATGTGACATCATCCTGGCAAGCAGGCTGTAATTCTTGTGAGTCACAGGTAGGTTACACCCTGGACTTAGCTTTGTAGGCTGTGTTCTCTGAATGTTTTGTCATGATATGGAGGGCACTAAGGGTGTTTGGTCTCTGTAAGATATTAAAGCTTCACATATATTTAGTGTGTTCAGAATTTTGTCTTCTCAGTCAGGCTACCAGAATGGCCTGTGCGCTGGTAGTGAGTAGCTTATCTAAATGTCTTATGTGCTAACCCAACCCTGAAGGAGCTGATGTCAAATGAGAAAAGCTTGTGGGATCCAGTCATGCCAAGAACAGTGGCAAAATCTGCTACTATAGAAAGTTGTTCTCAGAGTAGCCAGCACATCCCCTTTGGCTGGTGAGTCCTTAGCACAGGTATGAGAATGCTGATACCTCTCCAACCAGTGGGTCTAAAGTTAGTGTCAGGTCCCTTAGGAATCTTTTAGGGGAACTGATAAATACATTAATGCTCTTTGGAGGCAAAAGTTACTCTGCTGTAGTATTGAATGCCTTGTTCAGTGGCGCCAGATCTGGGTGTGACTGTCTATCACGCATGACATCACTGTCACTGACACCTCAAGCTTCCACTTATGAGAAACATCTCAAATAATTTTCTTCAGACAGGATCTTCTGTGAAGCTATTTCATTTGCGATTGCAATGGTGGGCGTCCTGTCAATCAGGAGCGCATTTTAGTAAACAAATCATAACCTTTTATTCCCCATTATCCAACACCTGATCACCTCCCCTGTTTCCTCATTGGCTGAGTAATACAGGTTCACAACCTACTCGACGCTCCTCTATACCATATATGTACAATTTTTCTTTTTTTCAACCCTTTAATTTCTCCTTTCTTATGCTTTGAGAACTTGTGATCTTTTTTTTACTATTCTCACACTGCTCATCCTGTTTTTCTCAAGCTTCTACCTTATTTTGGAACAGTGAGGCCTCCTACTGTCCACTTACCTACTTAGCATTTCTCCTTATTATGACTACACAACTACCTTGGAATACAGAAGGTTAGTTTTCTACTGCAAAAACACAACTTTGTTTCTCACAATTCCCCCCTCTTCTTTTCTTACTCCTCTTGTTGTTTTTGTACCTCTTCACATACCACACTCTTGAGTTTTTCCAACATTGAGGTGCAATATTCTTCTTCGGATGTCACGGGAGATGATAGATATACAATGCCATTATTATTACAATACCAACAAACAGTTGTTTGATCCAATTCTATTCAGGTAACTGTGAAATTAGTTTCTCCCAAATGTTTCTAAATCCCCAGGAATTGGCATCTTGAGCTACTCTATGTAGGATTTTGTGTTTTTTTTTTCCCAAAATATTTTTGAGATTAGTCAAATCCGTCCCATTTGATCTACATATATACAGCAACTAGTATTAATTACAGTGCACACTCCTCCTTATGAGGTTATTAATAAATCTAATGCTATTTGATTCTAGAGTACTATTTTTGCAAACTTATCAAACTTATTTTCTAGTTCTTCAATATATTTACAATATTTTTGTATTTTGAGAAATTTACAATGTCTTTTTCTAATTCACTCACCCCTAAACAAGATAAAAACCACTTTGCAAAACTGTGAAATGCTAGAGAATTTTACTAAAGGATTATCTGGAATCCGCTTAATTCCACGTGTGGTCTCAAGGGGGCTTCGGCTTTGTGGGGGTTCAATAATAGTTACATTTGGAATTATTGCCTCCAGGGTGCAAGCTCCCTTCCATCCTAGGGGCAACACCTTCCTGGCTTTATTGCCACATAGCCAGTACCACCCCTTGATATTTGGAACAGGCCTTCTGGTTACAGGATTCTCATGTTGTATCTGGTGTTCATTATGTATATTAGCGTTCCCATGGCTACTATATTCGGTATACAGTATAGATTATTCCCTACTTCATGGATATTTCCACACCCAGGGTCAGTAATATTGCCTCCTGAGTTTTCTATCAATGTTGTTTAAAAGGCACCTTTGATAACACAGTATGTTGTAGCCAGGACTATGTGTAGGGAGCTCAACTTCAAAATCTATTCCTTCCCGGGACTGAGTAAGATCTGTCGTTTTTAGAAATCTAGAGAATCCAGACAGAGTTGCTGCTGGAAATAGCAATCAGGGACAAGGCCTTTTCAGTCTTTCTAGGCATCTGGGTACAAATCCAACAATTATTTCACTCGAGAGATGTTCTGGATTAATTGGAAATGCCGAACATTCCCTCCATCCTATCACTAATCCACTGAGAACAGGTATTATTAAGATGAACTTAAAATACATCATTTCTATATGTATATATACACCCCTATAATAATTAAGAAATAATAATAATTAAGAAATAATAATAATTAAGAAATAATAATAAAAATCGCAAACTGATAAGGATTCTTCTGGTGGGGATCGAATATCCCCCTTTCTTTTTCTCCCACTTCCAGGGAGTGTTCCCTGGAAACACTCCAATTCTGTGTAATTCAATCCCTTTTACTCATTAATTCATTAAGAATTCTTCTAAGGAGAAGTTAAACGTTTACAATAGATACTTTCAACAGTTTTAACCTTAAAAGTCGTTGTTAATGCAGTCTCTCAGGTATCAGGGTTAACTGATGCTTTTACCCAGGAATGAGTCCACCCTCTCTCAGCCGTTCTTACTGTTGTTTCAGTAGTCAGGAGCACTTGGAACAGTCCGTTCCACTCAGGTTGCAGCTTCGATTCTGCAGTTTGCATCAGATCCCAATCTCCACGGGTCCTGAGAGATGACAAAAAGGATGACAGCCCCAGTATATAGTTCTTAAGAAAAGCATCTTTTTTCTCAAATTGAGGTAATCCATTCCCTTTGTCCAGGTACAGCAATCCAAATAGTATTTCATATGGTGAAACTCCCACATCTTATCTTGGTGAATTCAGAGAAGTGCCAAAGGTAAGCACTTTGTTTGGGGAAGATGAGTTTCCAGAACTTAGTCAATTGCTTCTTTTCTGTCTGCTCCACCCTTCCAGAAGAGGAAGGATGCCAAGGAGTATGAAATTTCCACTTCATTCCTAGAGTCCACATTAGCCCTTGCAATATTTCTGACATAAAGTGATTTCCTTGATCAGAGTCAATATTTTCAACAATTCCATACCTGGGAGTTCTTAGAATTACTTTAGTTACTATGTTCACAGTAGCAGATACTAAAGGGAAAGCTTCCACCCACCCTGAAAAATGATTGACCAAGACTAATAAGTATTTATATCTACGTACTCTAAGGAGCTCTGTAAAATCTACCTGTACATTTTGGAAGCGTTGAATTCATGATTATTGCCCCCCCCCGGGCTGACTGTGGATAATTTTCCTATTTACCTTTTGACATATTATGTAACTGCTGCATACTTGTTCAGCCACAGTATATATATATATTCCTACGCATACATAATGCATACATATTTCCATAGCACAGCATCACATATTGCTTGAGTTTCCCAATGACCCTCTTGATGTAAAACCGTTAATATTTGCCTCATTAGCACTTCACAGAATCACAGAATTTCTAGGTTGGAAGAGACCTCAAGATCATCGAGTCCAACCTCTAACCTAACACTAACAGTCCCCACTAAACCATATCCCTAAGCTCTACATCTAAACGTCTTTTAAAGACTTCCAGGGATGGTGACTCCACCACTTCCCTGGGCAGCCTGTTCCAATGTCTAACAACCCTTTCAGTAAAGAAGTTCTTCCTAACATCTAACCTAAAACTCCCCTGGCGCAACTTCAGCCCATTCCCCCTCATCCTGTCACCAGGCACGTGGGAGAACAGGCCAACCCCCACCTCACTACAGCCTCCTTTAAGGTATCTGTAAAGAGCAATAAGGTCACCCCTGAGCCTCCTTTTCTCCAGGCTGAACAAGCCCAGCTCCCTCAGCCGCTCCTCGTAGGACTTGTTCTCCAGACCCCTCACCAGCTTCGTCGCCCTTCTCTGGACCCGCTCGAGCACCTCGATGTCCTTCTTGTAGCGAGGGGCCCAAAACTGAACACAGTACTCGAGGTGCGGCCTCACCAGAGCCGAGTACAGGGGGACGATCACCTCCCTAGCCCTGCTGGCCACACTGTTTCTGATACAAGCCAGGATGCTGTTGGCCTTCTTGGCCACCTGAGCACACTGCTGGCTCATATTCAGCCGACTATGAACCATCACTCCCAGGTCCTTCTCTGCCTGGCAGCTCTCCAACCACTCATCTCCCAGCCTGTAGCTCTGCTTGGGGTTATTGCGCCCCAGGTGCAGGACCCGGCACTTGGCCTTGTTGAACTTCATGCACTTTATTCAGCATTTCTCTCCCCTCAGGGAGTATCTATTTTAGTTCAGATTTTGTGACTCCTAATTCCTTAAAAACCTCTTTCTCTTAAAACTTTTTACTTCTTTTTAGTTTTGGGTAGGGGTAGCTCAACAATTCCCTCAATCTTCTCTGGATTTTCTCTTCATTCCCTCCCAGATAGTAGATGCCCTAAGTACTTGACTTCTCCTTCTATATATTGTAATTTTGTTTCCAATACTCCCAAGCCCTGTTTTCCCAGAAAGTTGAATAGTTTGTTAGTGTCGTCTTTCACGACTGTTTTCTCCTGTCCTGACAATAAAAGATCATCCACATACTGTAACATTAACACCTCCTTTGGAGGTTGGAATTGCTCCAAAATTTCTTCTAGAATGTGCCCAAATAAATTGGTCGCCCTGCAAACCCTAGAGGTAAAATTGTCCATCTATATTGCTGCTTCCACCCCATTTCAGGGTCTTTCCACTCAAAGGCAAATATATCTTTGCTCCCAGGATCTGAGAGCACCGCATTAATAACACCGTTATTCCAGCCTGACAATTTCCTATTTGAATGCCCATTTTCATTATTAAATCCTTTCCCAACAAGTTAGTCCCTGCCTCGGGTGCATACAATAATTGCCCAATGATCTTTTTATCCCCTAGTCTCAGCTTGGTATCCCCCAAAAAGTGGCTCTGTAAACCCAGCCCATTCTACCCCTATCACATTTAGGGTTTCATTAGTTAATTTAAGCCTTGATACTTTACAGGCCAGTAATGACCTAGCTGCCCCAGTGTATTGGTTTTGCATGGCAAGGTGGTAGTGGGGGGGCTGCAGTGGTAGCCCCTGTGAGAAGAATCCAGCAGCTGCCCCAGGTTAGATAAGGGCCAGTTTCAGCCAGTTCCAAAGGGGCCCACCACTGCCCAGAGCCAAGCCATGAGCAACGCAGTTTGTGCCTCTGTGAGAGCGCATCCAAGAAAAGGAGAACTGCTGCACAACAGCAGCTGGGAGAGTGAGGAGTGAGAAACCTCCCAGCAGACACCAAGGTCAGTGCAGAGGAGGGGGGAGTGCAGTGCAGAGGTGCTCCAGGTGCCGGAGCTGAGGCCCCTGGTGGGGAAGGCAGCTCATGGTGTACCTCAGCGGAGCAGATCTTTATGCTGCAGCCCATTTAGGAACAGCCCAGGAAGGTTGGCACCCTACGAGAGGGACCCCACACCCAAGCAGGGCAAAAGCGACTGTGAAGGAGCAGTGGAAACGAAGCACCATGGACTGACAGCAGCCCCCTCTTCCGGCCCTCCCACCCCGAGCCCCCCAGGGCAGGGAAGAGGTGGAAGAGAGTGGATGGGGGAAGGTGCCCCCAGATTGTTTCTCTGTTTCTCACTGCTCCAGCCCGTCAGCAATAGATAATAAATTTTATTAATCTTCCTCTGCAAAGTGTGTTTTGCCTCTAATGTTAATTGTAGAGTGATCCCCATTGAGGTACACTTGAGGAGCCCTTGAGGTACGCTTTTTCCTTTATCAGGGAACTAGCTTTCCGAGAAGCCCCGATTCCCCTATTCTGAATTTATAACAGCAGTCTTTCCTCCTTCTTCCACTCCAGATACTCCTATTTGAAGTGGCTAGCCTGGCTGCAGTTAAAACATCTTCTCAAAGCCTGTCCTTGCTAGGATTCAGGCTGCAACACAGGTAGCTTTCCTTGTCTGTCATTCCTTCGTCTCTCTTCCTCTCCTTTCCATCCTGGGCCCTCTATCTCTAGCCCCCTGCCTCACTACCCAGTACGCTGTGAATACCATTAGTTTCGCTCTCTGCTTTTCCTTCTCTTCTTCCCTCTTGGTGTACACCTTCATACTACCTGCACTGTTCACTCCATCCTCCCACCTTCTGGAGCTTTTTCTGTGTATCTGACCAGGCTTTAATGACAAAATGAACTTTCAAGAGCCCTTAGGCTACTGGGTCCTCAGGATTCATCCCCGAGTACTTTCTAATTCTGACCCAGAGTCTCTCATATGTTTTCTATGTCGTGCATTGTTATTATTTCAGATGGGTAAGCAGATATTTCTGCTCTATTGGAATTCTCTTGGTCAGAGGGGGTGGGGGAGTGGGGGTGGTGTTAGTTCTTTCCTATTCTTCCATAGCTGCCTGGCAAATCATTCCCCTCCTAAACATTCTTCTCCAGTGAATAACATACTCAAGACTGGCATTTCCCCCCCCAGGAATACAAACTAGGCCTTATAGACGTATTTGACTGTTTGACTGTTCTGCTAGGCCCTCAATTAAAGACTTCATTTCCTTCTTAAAACTCCTAACCTCTCTGCTGGTAAGGGAGGAGTGGCACTGGCCCTGCATGGCTCGAGGCCCCACCGGGACACCCCCTTGCCCCCCCCCCCCCCGCCTCTGCTCCCGCTGCTCCGCACTCCCTGGCATGACTTCTCCAGCTTGGTGTCCCCAAAAAGTGGCACTGTTATCCCAGTCCCGTCTACCCCTATCACATTTAGGGTTTCATTAGTTAATTTAAGCCTTGATACTTTACAGGCCAGTAATGACCTAGCTGCCCCAGTTTATTTGGTTTGCATGGCAAGGTTCTGGTAGTGGGGGGGCTGCAGTGGTAGCCCCTGTGAGAAGAATCCAGCAGCTGCCCCAGGTTAGATAAGGGCCAGTTTCAGCCAGCTCCAAAGAGGCCCACCGCTGCCCAGAGCCAAGCCATGAGCAACGCAGTTTGTGCCTCTGTGAGAGCTCATCCTAGAAAAGGAAAAAAAATGCTGCACAACAGCAGCTGGGAGAGTGAGGAGTGAGAAACCTCCCAGCAGACACCAAGGTCAGTGCAGAGGAGGGGGAGTGCAGTGCAGAGGTGCTCCAGGTGCTGGAGCTGAAGCCCCCCTGCAGCCCACGGAGAGGCCCCTGGTGGAGCAGGCTATCGTGTGTTTCCCCCCCCCCAAGACTATGGTGTACCACGGCTGAGCAGATGTCCATGCTGCAGTGCATGGAGAGGAGCTCCTGCAGGAGCAGGTGATTTGGGGAGGGGGCAGAGGGTGAAATGCAGTTTAAATCTCTATGAGAGCACATCAAAGAAAAGGAAAAGAGAACTGCTGCACAACAGCAGCTGGGAGAGTGAGGAACCTCCCAGCAGACACCAAGGTCAGTGCAGAGGAGGGGGGAGTGCAGTGCAAAGGTGCTCCAGGTGCCGGAGCCGAAACCCCCCCCCGCGGCCCACAGAGAGGCCCCTAGTGGGGAAGGATGACCCCCTCCCACAGCCCATGGTGTACCACGGCAGAGCAGATGTCCATGCTGCAGCCCGTGGAAAGGAGCCCATTCAGGAGCAGGTGATGTGGGTGGGGTGTTAGGGTGGACCCCAGGGGGTCCCAAGCTGGACCAACTCACTCCTGACAAATAGACCCCACGGCACAGACCCACACCTGGAGCAGCTCCCAAAGAGCCCGTTTCTCGCTGCCCATGGAGAAACTCACACAGGACCAGCCCAGGAAGGTCAGCACACCACGAGAGGGACCCCACACCAGAGCAAGGGGGACGGAGTGGTGGAAACAAAGCACCATGGGCCGACTGCAGCCCCCACGCCTGGCCCCCTGTGCCACTCAGGGCAGGGAAGAGGTGGAAGAGAGTGGATGGGGGAAGGTGCCCCCAGATTGTTTCTCTGTTTCTCACTGCTCCAGCCCGTCAGCAATAGATAATAAATTTTATTAATCTTCCTCTGCAAAGTGTGTTTTGCCTCTAATGTTAATTGTAGAGTGATCCCCATTGAGGTACACTTGAGGAGCCCTTGAGGTACGCTTTTTCCTTTATCAGGGAACTAGCTTTCCGAGAAGCCCCGACTCCCCTATTCTGAATTTATAACAGCAGTCTTTCCTCCTTCTTCCACTCCAGATACTCCTACTTGAAGTGGCCGGCTGTACTGGGTCTGGCTGGGATGTTAACTTTCCCTGCAGCAGCCCATACAGTGTTGTGCTCTGCACTTGTAGCTAGAACAGCAATGGTATCACACCAGGGTTGTGTCTGCTGCTGAGCAGTGCTGGCACAACATCAGGACTCTCTCTAACCCTCCTAGGGGGTGGGCAAAAAAGTGAGAAGAGAAACATCTCCAGGGCAGCTGACCTAAACCAACCAAAGGGATATTCCATACCATACGATGTCACACTCAGCAATAAAAGGTGGAAACAGGAAGAAGAGGGGAGCGGTGGGCTCTCGTTGTGAAATCATCGGTCCTCCTCCTGAACACCAGCTACATGCGTTGAGGCCCTGCTTCAAGGACGTGGTCAATCATCGCTCATTTGTGGGAAGTAGAGAGTAATTTCTTTCCTCTGCACTTCCATATAGCCTTTATTTTTTTTTTTCCCTTTTGCCCTCCATTTTCCACTTTCCCTTTTTTTTTTTCCCTTTAGTTAAATTCTTTAGTTAATAATAATATTTCCTTAATAATTTTTTCCCTTTAATTAAATTATCCTTATCTCAACCTGTGAGTTGTTCTTTACTTTACTTCTTCCCCTCCTCATCTAAGGAGGGGGAATGAGAGAGTGGTTGTGGTATTTAGCTGCCTAGCATGGTAAAACCACCACACCGGCCTGGCCACACTTAAAATATCTTCTCAAAAAGCCTGTCCTTGCTAGGATTAAGGCTGCAACACAGGTAGCTTTCCTCATCTGCCATTCCTTCTCTCTTCCTCTCCTTTCCATCCTGAGCCTGATTTCTCCCAAAAGTCCCTCTATCTCCAACTCTGCCTCACTACCCAGTATGCTGTGTTCGCTCTCTGCTTTTCCTTCTCTTCTTCCCTCCTGGCATACACCTTCATACTACCTACGCTGTTTACTCCATCCTCCCACCTTCTGGAGCTTTTTCTGTATATCTGGCCAGGCTTTAATCACAAAACAAACTTTCAAGAGCCTTTGGGCTACTGGGTCCTCAAGATTCATCTCCAAGTACTTTCTCATTCTGACCCCGAGTCTCGCAGCTAAACACCACACAGCTGTTCGCTCACCCTCCCCCCTCCCTCTCTGGGATGGGGGAGAGAAACAGGAAAGTGAAGTCTGTGAGTTGAGATAAAGACAGTTTATTAAGATAGAAAATAATAATAATAATAATAATAATAATAGTACTACTACTAATAATGTGTACGAAACAAGTGATGCACAGTGCAATTGCTCACCACCCACTGACCGATGCCCAGCCTATCTCCGAGCAGCCCGGCCCCCCCAGCCCTGGCCAGCCACCCCTATATATTGTTCATCATGACGTCAGATGGTATGGAATATCCCTTTGGACAGTTTGGGTCATCTGTCCTAGGTCTGTCCCCTCCCAGCTCCTTCTGCACCCATAGCCTGCCCGCTGGCAGGACAGAGCAAGAAGCTGAAACGTCCTTGGCTTGGTGTAAGCCTAGGCCTTATAAACGGATTTGACTGTTCTGCTAGGCCCTCAATTAAAGACTTCATTTCCTTCTTAAAACTCCTAACCTCTCTCCTGGTAAGGGAGGAGTGGCACTGGCCCCGCATGGGCCATGCCCCACCGGGACACCCCTCCACACACCCCCCCCCCCCCCCCACACCCCCACCCCCACTCCCACTGCTCCGCACTCCCTGGTGCGACTTCTCCAGGCACAGCATCAATTGCAGTCCCTGCTGCTTAGCTGCAGACTGGGTTAAACCACAGCAGGGGGAGTTCACATAATGTATTTGTCCTTGTCCCACTGGAACCTCCCTAAGAGGATACACAGTTAGTGTTAGTACTGTTAGTATCAGAGAAGGCAAAACTCTCAGTATATCTTCTACCTTGTTCTAATTCTTGCCAGAAACTAGAGTGCGCTCCTTTTCCAGGGACAGCGTCAATTGCAGTCCTTGTGTCCCCTCCTGGAGCAGCTGCCGCTGCCTCTGGTGCAATATTAGGATGTCCTGGTTTCAGTTAGAACAGAATTAATTTTCTTCCTAGTAGCTGGTGGAATGCTGTGTTTTGGCTTAGGATGAGAAGAGTGCTGATAACACCCCGATGCTTTAATTGTTGCAGAGCAGTGCTTATACTAAGCCAAGGACATCTCAGCCTTTTGCTCTGCCCTGCCAACGGGCAGGCTGGGGGTGCAGTAAGAGCTGGGAGGGGACAGACCCGGGACAGGTGACCCAAACTAGCCAAAGGGGTATTCCATACCATCTGACGTCATGCTAAACAATATATAGGGGTGGCTAGCTGGGGGGAGGGGGCCGGACTGCTCGGGGTTAGGCTGGGCATCGGTCAGCGAGTGGTGAGCAATTGCATTGTGCATCACTTGTTTGTACATATTATTATTATTTCCCTATTATCACCATATTATTATTATTGTTATTATTGTTATTATTATTTTGTTATTATTATTTTCCTGTCTTATTAAACTGTCTTTATCTCAACTCACGGGCTTCACTTTCCATTTCTCTCCCCCGTCCCAGAGAGGGAGGGGGGAGGGTGAGCGAACGGCTGCGTGGTGTTTAGCTGCCGGCCGGGTTAAACCACGACATAGGATTATAGAGAGCGTAACTCGATTCCTCCTCTGAAAACAGAACCTTATTGTTTATATATAATTTTCAAGCCTGAATTTTCATCAGACCTGTATTTTGACCAAAATACTCAAGTTCCTTTTATTGGCTTTTTAGGCCAGACAATTACGCAATATCAAACCATTTTTAAATTATATATATATTTTTAAATCTTTTTCCCTAGTTTTTGGGTTGTTTTTCCAAATCCTTATCATTCTCTCCAAAGGACTGTCTTTAGGCACAATCCCAGGGTCTCCAACCCCACCCTGCTGACTCTTGGAACCCTTAATCCCCAGCTCTTACTGACGTGCTGCTGTGGACTTTACCACCCACAGGGTACCACACGCCTTCACCTAGGATTAGGACAGAGGTGGGGTGTACTACCAAGCACCTCACTTCACCGTGCTCGAGGTACCGCACACCTAAGGGCCCAAACCCCCGAGACTCTCTTTCACTCCTCTCCTCTCTCTTTCGCTTTGTCCCTCTCCAGCCGAGGGGACTTCGTTCGTCCCCTTGCAGGACCACCGAGCGTCACGGATCGGGACTTCACGTTCGCTCCACACTAAAAGTATGTCTCATTCACACTCACACTCATTCATACCAGAGTCTCTCCATACCCAACTCGAGGCAAGAAAAGTTTCCCTTACCTCGGTCTGTGCACGGCTTCCTGGTCCGGGTTATCAGCAGTAGTAATTCCTGTGCCTGTTCCCGATCTGGGCTGGACTATCTCTGGGCTGTGTCTGTGTATGTTTGTGCTGGCCTCCCTTCTCCCCAGAGCTTCGCAAAGCCTGTCTTCAGACTAACAGTCTCGGTCCTTTGCTGGCCATACCAAGACAACCCACCACCCCAAACGGGACCGCTGAAATCAGCGGGGTGCACCTTCCTGTCTGTGGTGGCAAGAACTCTTCGGTAGGTGACAAGATCCCGGACGAGCCCCCAAATTTTGAGAAACATCTCAAATAATTTTCTTCAGACAGGATCTTCTGTGAAGCTATTTTATTCGCGATTGCAATGGCGGGCGTCCTGCCAATTAGGAGTGCATTTTAGTAAACAAATCATAACCTTTTATTCCATACTACCCGACACCTGATCACGTCCCCTGTTTCCTCATTGGCTGAGTACTACAGGTTGACAACCTACTCGACGCTCCTCTATACCATATATGTACAATTTTTCTTCTTTTTTCAACCCTTTAATTTCTCCTTTCTTATGCTTTGAGAACTTGTGATTTTTTTTATTTTTTATTTTTTTACCATTCTCACACTGCTCATCCTGTTTTTCTCAAGCTTCTGCCTTATTTTGGAACAGTGAGGCCTCCTACTGTCCACTTATCTACTTAGCATTTCTCCTTATTATGACTACACAACTACCTTGGAATACAGAAAATTAGTTTTCTACTGCAAAAACACAACTTTGTTTCTCACACGCTGACTGCATCTATTTTCTTGTTGGAAGAGGGGGAGAGAGTTGTGAAACTGATCTTGCGATCATCAGTAGCTCTAAACAAAACTAAGTGTAGGATGGACACAAAATATGAGATTCTGATCCAGACTATAGCCAGGTTTTGCTGCAAGAGGTAAAACGAACTACTGCTGGTGTCTCCTGGTTTTGCCATTCTATAGGTTGTAAGAGATGCTGGGGAAAAATTGTCTGTCTGTGATGATTCATGTAGTTCTTGCTCTGTGTTACTTGTGTTACTTCTGCTGTAAAGTAGTAGCTGTGATTCTTATAACTTGTCTTTATTTTTTCCCTCTTTCCCTCTCTACCACCGATCAGTATGACTTCTCCCTGGAAAAGAAAACAATCGAGTGGGCTGAAGATATCAAAAAAATTCAAGCTGTCCAGAAAGGAGCTGAACGAAAGGCAGAAGAAGCAATAGGAAACTCAAAAGCAGCCCCAGAGGACAGCAACAGACTGGGGTTCTCAGAGGGACCTTGCCCTGAGTCCATGCCTCCTCCTATTAACCCCATCCTCGCTGGTCTGCAGCACAATAACATTCTTACTCCCACACCAGCCGACAGCAGTGCTGTGAAGCAAAAAGTTCTTAGTCCACCTCGCCCCAAAGCAGACTTCAATCCAGCTGATTTTGAAAGTGAAGAAGACCCATTTGACAAACTGGAATTAAAAACTATCGATGATAAGGAGGAGTTAAAAAACATTCTGGAAATCCATGTCGGTACTACTGGGCCGGTTGTTGCCCAGCTGTTAGATAGCAGTTTGCCCAAAGGAGGGTCTGAGTCTGTGTTGCAAGATCAGGAGGTTCTGGCATCCATAGAAAGGGCCACGTTGGACTTCAAGCCCCTTCACAAACCCAATGGCTTTATCACTTTACCGCAGTTGGGAAACTGTGAAAAGATGTCCTTGTCTTCCAAAGTGTCCCTGTCCCCTATCACTTCAGTGAGCAATATCAAATCCCTATCCTTTCCTAAACTTGACTCCGATGAGAGTGATCAAAAATCACCAAAGCTCATGAACACTTTTCACAGCACTACCTGTCTCCACAACAGCACTTTTCTCAGCTCTTTGCAGGCCTGTGCTCAGGCTAAAGCTAGCGAACTGAACGGACACCATGTGGTTGGTCTGTCTGCTTTAAACGAGGACAGTGGCATGGAGACATTAACGTTATCCTCTTCAACCAGGCTGCCTTCCCTGGCTGTGTCAACAGTTTGTACAGAAGAAGAATTGTCTCAAAGCACAGTGACCACGGTAAACACACGGTGGATTAAAACTGAGTTCGTGGGGGAGATGTGGAGGTGTGGAGGCAAATGTTGATTCTAAAATGTCCCGTGGCTTTGTATTTAGTTTCATTTAATGTGTGGTGTGTAGATAGGACAGATCATGTACAGTAATTCTTTTATGTGGCAAAATCATCAGCTCAACAGGTCTTCATGCTGACAGTTGTGAACCTCAGACTACTGCTCACAGGCTTCTTCTCCCTGCTCCCCTCCCATCTCTGAATTTGAAACCAATTCTGGTGACTTTTTTCAGCTTCTCAGCTCTTGTTGTTCATAGTTATACATAGCTGCATGCCTTTTGAGCTAACTGTAAGATTTCTTCCATGGTTTCTTACCTGTGAGGGTGGGAGGATTGCTTTTTGGATACCAAAAGCAGTTTTGAAGACCATCTCAGATTTACAGATTTCGGTTGCTGTACAGCTCTGAGACAGGAGTTTGAAGCTTTGTTGCTTCTAACTTATAGCAAGTTCTGAGAGTACTTCAGGGACACCTAACTTGATGCCATCTGTTGTGGCTTTGTGAGTGGGAGTTCAGATTTGAGTGAACTTGGGCACTTTTTTCCAAAGAACCTAAGATCTGGACACCAATACTTATGAATTCTAATGGAAACTGTATAGCCAAATCTTCTAATTAGCTCTAAAATGTGAGATTTGGAAGGCGGCTTCTGTCCTGTGCACGGTGGTTCTGTGTTCTTGCTGGTGTACTGTAGGTTTTTGTGACACCATGTGCTCTAAAACTGGTGACAGTCTTTCTCTTCCCACTGTTCTTTCATCTCTCTTAAGGCTTAAGTAAATGCAGTATTATTTGAGAAATGCAGTATTCCGGCAACTAGTGTATCCCTCAGAATAGTGCTTATGGATCACTGTCGTGGTTCCGCTCGAGTGGGCAGCCGAGCTCCACCACAGCCGCTCTCTCACTCCCCCTCCTCAAAGAGGAATGGGGAGAAAATATGTGAAAGGGGCTCAAGGATTGAGATAAGGATGAGAAAATCACGCAATAATTAGTGTAACGGGCAAACCAGACTCAGCATAAGAAGACAGATAGTAAGGTTTATTGCTCATTACTAACAAGCTAGAGAAGTGAGAAACAAAGGAAAGAAACCAAAAGCACCTCCCCCCCCATCCACCCTCTTCCACCTCCTCCCCCCGAGCAGCGCAGGGGAACAGGGGAATGGGGGTTATGGTCAGTCTACAGCACTTCTTCTCTGCCGCTCCTTCTCGGTCACTCTCGTCCCCTGTGCTGTGGGGTCCCACCCACGGGATGCAGTCCTTGACGAACTGATCCGGCGTGGGCTTCCCACAGGCAGCAGCTCTTCCAGAACTGCTCCAGATATGGGTCCGTACCACGGGGTCCATCCCTCAGGAGAAAACTGCTCCAACCTGGCTCCCCTACGGGCAGCAGCTCCTGCCAGATCACCTGCTCCTGCGTGGTCTCCTCTCCACGGGCTACAGGTCCGGCCCGGAATCTGCTCCGGCAGGGGTCTTCCACAGGCGGCAGCCTCCGTCGGTGCAGGGCCACCTGCTCCACCGTGGTCTCCTCCACGGGCTGCAGCGTGAAACCCTGCTCCACCGTGGTACTCCATGGGCTGCAGGGGGACATCATGCTTCACCATGGTCCTCACCACAGGCCGCAGGGGACTTCTGCTCCGGCGCCTGGAGCACCTCTCCCCCTCCTTCTACACTGACCTTGGCACCTGCAAGGCTGTTTCTCACTCCCTTGACTCTCCCGGCTGCTGTGTGGCGCAGCGTTTTTTCCCTGTCTTAAATATGCTCTCACAGAGGCGCAAAACAACATCGCTTATTGGCTCAGATTTGGAAAACAATGGGGCCCTTCCCAAACATGGGGCGGCTTCTAGATCTTTCTCACAGAAACCACCCCTATGGCCCCCTGCTACCAAAGCCTTGCCACGTAAACCCACTACAATCACTAGAGCAAATTCAATGCTGTAAGCTTTGTCAGGAGCAGCGGTGTGCTGAGCAAGTGCTTGCTGCTACAAATCACAGGTTTGAGGGGAGATTGCCTCGTTGTATGAGGCTCAGAGGTGAAGCCTTGAAGCATGATGTCTCTAGGGATTAACGTGAAAGATCACTTACCACTAGGTAGATGGGCCTTAAGATAACCAAATTCTCACTGCAAGTACTTAAATCTCTGTGCTAGATTAAATCCTAGTGAAGACCGAGAGAGGAGGTGTGTTCTCGACAATGCTGTAAGGGAAGGTACAAAAGGTTTTAAAAACTAAAAAAGGAATTTCATGGGCTAGGTTGCTAGAAGGCAAGGGTGCATGTGAGAGCTGGGCTACATTTAAACAGCACTTCTTCCAAGCTCAGGATTAGAGAGTACCCAGGTCTGGATCCTCATAAATCACTTCCCATACGGCTAATTCCCTCAGGTACTGGATTCCCTTCTCCATAGTGGTCCACTTGCCTGGTAGACATACAAGTTCTTCCTTGAAGGGATACCTTTCCCTCACAGCTGAGAGGAGACGCCTCCAGAGGCTGTGAGATTGTGTTCCATCTGCAATTGCTTTGTCAATGCCTGCGTCTCCAGCAGGGGATCCCAGCCGTCTGGCTTCCTTGCCCTCTAATTCCAGACTATTGGCTCCGGTGTCCTAGTACCGGAGCAGCCAGGTGACAAGCTGCTCACCTATACAGCAACCAAAATCTTTTCGCACATCTTGTAGCTCACGTTGGTATAGGTTTCGGGTAGTTACTGTTGTTTTTGTGACATCTTCATCTTCATCCTCCTGTTCCTCTGACGGCCCGGCCTCGTCTTCTCCATACCTAGTCTTAGCAGGAGTTTCTCTGTGTTCTAAACAATCTAAGTCTCTAAACCCTTTTTTTCATCTTGGTTAAGGGTGCAACTGACACTGTTACAGTTTGTTTCCCTGGCTCAGCCTTGGGGCCCATTGTAGGGCTTGGAGTGGCTGCTGGGCTTGTCTCAGGGGTTGAAGTGGCCGCAGGGTCTGTCACTGGGGTTATATTGGCATTGAACGCAGCTCGGTAAGCATAGGCCAAGCCCCAGCACATTGCAGTGATTTGTGTGTGTCTGGTACTGCCAGGGCGATGACACACCTTTTTCAAGCACTCTACCAGTTTTTTAGGATTTTGCAGTTGTTTGGGGATACATTTCCAAAGCACTTGAAGGTGCCCACTGCTCTAGATGCCTGACCATATCCTCCCACTCTCCCTGCCACTCATAAGTATCCTGCCTCAGGGCAGATCTCTGGATGACACTCTTAAGTATTTATTTAACCTTAGACAAAACCTGAAGCGCATTCAGGAGGCATAACAATAAGAACATGCTGGTCTGAACATCCCAAAGATATTTGAAGATTTGGAAAGCTACCATAACTTGCCTGGAGGATAAGAAAGGGGTAGAGGAGAAAGAGATCGTGAACAAGTGGGAAAAAAACATCTTCCCCTGACCCCTCCATAGACTGATTTATGAAGGGGGGTGGGGGCGGAACCGGGGACACTAGAAAGGAGCCTGAATGTGACATGCCAGTTCTTCTGGGTGAGGAATGTGCTAGCAAGACCTCTCAGTCTTGTGTCTTTGTGAAGGATGAGGATGACAGAACATTTTTCGGGAAGGACACAAGGGTTGGTGAGAGGTTCGTAACTATGGAAACACCTGAGTATGGTCAGGAGGGTATTAGGGCTTCTTCCTCCCAAAAGGTGACCCAGCTGAGGTGCGTTGACACTAATGCACGCAGTATGGGTAACAAACAGAAGGAGCTGGAGGCCACCGTGCTAGTAGGAAACTATGATGTAGTTGCTATCATGGAAACCTGGTGGGATGATTCCCACGACTGGAGTGTGGCCGTTGATGGCTACAAACTGTTCAGAAGGGTGTCGCGTTAAGGGGTGTAGCTGATTAACCGTTACGGGCCCGGTCGGATTCAGGGTACTGAACCAGTCGGACATTCACCAACAACACATTAACCGTCTGGGGGTCTGGTTGGATTCAGGACACTGAACTATCACGGATAACCACCCTTACCCTAGTTGCATTTAATGAGAGTTATCACAATGCAATCAAGTATGGTTTATTACAGCAACAGATAACCAGGTTCTTTTGGATTGCCGTCGATAGTGACTGTCTGCAAAAGCAAGCTAGCATGCATGAAATACACAGGTGTTGCAGGTGTTACAGGTGCGCAGCCTAGAAATAAACGCGTTAAAAAGATCAAAGACTCTAGAGAGATTTATAAGCAAGTATTCAGATCTCACCCAAAGGCGTCCCAATGGAGGGGGAAGAGAGGCTCAGCCCGTCGACTGATCCCAGGAGTCAGGAGGTCCTAAGTATGTTGTATTTCCTCGGGATGGTATCTCCCCTGATGGTGGTATCTTCCCTGACATCCCCTCTCTCTTGGGCCAATTTATATTATTTTCTATCTTTTAGGTGGAGCTTGAGTGACTCTAGTCAAGCATATCTTAGTTATGATTGGTGAAAAGTTTTCCCGTCTCTGTTTAAAGTAATAGGCTCCGAGAAATTCAGAGCGCATGCTCAGTGAGGGGTGGTCGCACCTTGGAGGCGGGTAGCTTTTGGGATGGAGGTGTGTTTTGGTATTATAATGATAATAATATAATGAGCAAAAAGTACACTAGGGTACAGCATTTGTCAAAACATGACAGGTCCTTGGCTCAGGGTGGCAAAAAGTGCAGCTTATCGGTCTCGGTGTGCGCAAGAACAATAGAGTCCTTAGGGCTAGCACACCAAGTTTCTCCAGCGCGATAGCATCTAAGGTTTGGGAGCCTAGGGAACGCTCAGGTAATGCAGCTATGCCCTACCCTGAAAGCCTCTTCAGTGCTGTACATTTTCCTTAAAAAAATGTGAATGTTAGTCTTATTTTCCTAGTTACTTCAGGCAATTACACCACAAAGGGATAGGGGAGGAATGAGGGGAAGAGGAGTTGCCCTCTATGTTAGGAAGTGGATAGATTGTGAAGAGCTGTGCCTGAGAAACAGCCATGACCAGGTTGAGAGCTTGTGGGTGAAAATCAAGGATCGGTCCAGTAGAGGACATCTAGTGGTTGGGGTCTGCTACAGGCCACCTGATCAGGGGGAGTCTGTTGACGAGGCCTTCTTGCTTCAGCTGCAAGAACTGTTGCACTCACAAGCTCTTGTCCTGATGGGGGATTTCAACCACCCGGGTATCTGCTGGGGTAGTGGCACTGTGGGTTCCAGGCAATCCAGGAGATTCCTGGAGTCTGTTGAGGATAACTTCTTGGTCCAGGTAATAGACGGACCGACCCGAGGTGAAGCCTTACTAGACCTGGTGCTCACCAATGTGGAAGAGAGCATTAGAGAGGTTAAGATTGGAGGCTGCCTGGGCTGTAGCGACCGTGCCCTGGTGGAGTTTGTGATCTTGAGGAATATGGGTCTGGCAAAAAAGCAGAGTCAGGACCCTGAACGTGAGGAGAGCAAACTTCTGGCTGCTCAAGGAATTACTAGCTGGGATCCCCTGGGAAACTCCTTGAGGGCATAGGAATGGAACAGAGCTGGCAGCTCTTTCAGGACACCCTTCTGAGAGCGCAAGAGCTCTCCATCCCCCAGCAGAAGAAATCGAGCAGAGGAGACGGGCTACCGGTGTGGCTTAGCAAGGACCTGCAGCTTAAACTGAGGGAAAAGAGGGAAATGCGTGGGCTTCCCACAGGCAGCAGCTCTTCCAGAACTGCTCCAGATATGGGTCCGTACCACGGGGTCCATCCCTCAGGAGAAAACTGCTCCAACCTGGCTCCCCTACGGGCAGCAGCTCCTGCCAGATCACCTGCTCCTGCGTGGTCTCCTCTCCACGGGCTACAGGTCCGGCCCGGAATCTGCTCCGGCAGGGGTCTTCCACAGGCGGCAGCCTCCATCGGTGCAGGGCCACCTGCTCCACCGTGGTCTCCTCCACGGGCTGCAGCGTGGAACCCTGCTCCACCGTGGTACTCCATGGGCTGCAGGGGGACATCCTGCTTCACCATGGTCCTCACCACAGGCCGCAGGGGACTTCTGCTCCGGCGCCTGGAGCACCTCTCCCCCTCCTTCTACACTGACCTTGGCACCTGCAAGGCTGTTTCTCACTCCCTTGACTCTCCCGACTGCTGTGCTGCGCAGCGTTTTTTCCCTGTCTTAAATATGCTCTCACAGAGGCGCAAAACAACATCGCTTATTGGCTCAGATCTGGAAAACAATGGGGCCCTTCCCAAACATGGGGTGGCTTCTAGATCTTTCTCACAGAAACCACCCCTATGGCCCCCTGCTACCAAAACCTTGCCATGTAAACCCACTACAGCAGTGCAGTCGATACAGTAGAGGGAAGGGTTGCCATCCAGAGGGACTTGGACAGGCTGGAGAGGTGGGCCCATGAGAACCTAATGAGGTTCAACAAGGCCAAGTGCAAGGTGTTGCACTTGGGCTGGGGCAATCCCAGGTATTTATATAGACTGGGCAAAGAAGAACTTGAGAGCAGCCCTGCGGAGAAGGACTTGGGGGTCCCGATGGACAAGAAGCTGGACATGAGCCGGCAGTGCGCGCTTGCAGCCCAGAAGGCCAGCTATGTCCTGGGCTGCATCAAAAAAGGGGTGGCCAGCAGGGAGAGGGAGGTGATTGTCCCCCTCTACTCTGCTCTTGTGAGACCCCACCTGGAATACTGCATGCAGGCCTGGGGCCCCCAGCACAAGAAGGATGTGGAGCTCTTGGAACAGTCCAGAGGAGGGCCACTAACATGATCAGAGGGCTGGAGCACCTCTCCCATGCAGAAAGGTTGAGGGAACTGGGCTTGTTTAGCTTGGAGAAGAGAAGGCTCCAGGGAGACCTCATTGCGGCCTTCCAGTACTTGAAGGGAGCGTATAAACAGGAGGGGGAACGCCTGTTTACATGTGTTGGTAGTGATAGGACAAGGGGAATGGTTTTAAACTAAGACAGGGGAGATTTAGGTTAGATATTAGGAGGAAGTTTTTCACTTGGAGGGTGGTGAGGCACTGGAACAGGTTGCCCAGAGAGGTTGTGGATGCCCCATCCCTGGAGGCATTCAAGGCCAGGATGGATGCGGCTCTGGGCAGCCTGCTCTAGTGGTTGGCAACCCTGCCCAGAGCAGGGGGGTTGAAGCTAGATGATCTTTAAGGTCCTTTTCAACCCAGGCCATTCTATGAATCTATGATTGGCTCCCTGAAGAAAAAGCGTGAAAGGTGTAATTAGTAATAGTTTCTGAGGTAGGGTTCCCAAAGTATGGAGTTGACGGCAATGCTGAGTATAAATACCGGATTAGTCTCATGGCCAGTAATTTTATCATATCGTAAGCCAGTGTTACACAGCACATCAAAATAATAACCCTATACCAACCCCCAGAAGTGATAAGCAACACGACAGGGAACACATACACTAAGTAATGTGCTATATAACTCAGTTTGGAAAGCGGGCACAGCAGACTTGAGATCACAAAAATCGGCATTGTGATTAGCAACTATTAAACTGATGTAATGCTTATAAGAATCTTGTTTTAACACGCTCTAGTCAGATCTGTTGTTATCTCAATCCCTCGTGCCCCACGTTAGGTGCCAAAAGGACTGTTGTGGTTTAACCCGGCTGGTAGCTAAGCACCACACAGCCATTAGTACACCCTCCCCCCTCCCTCTCTGGGATGGGGGAGAGAATCAGGAAAATGGAGCCTGTGGGTTGAGATAGAGACTACTAATAATGTGTACAAAACAAGTGATACACAATGCAATTGCTCACCACCCGGTGAGAGATGGGCTACCGGTGTGGCTTAGCAAGGACCTGCAGCTTAAACTGAGGGAAAAGAGGGAAATGTACAGGAAGTGGAAGCAGGGTTGTGTAGCCTGGGAGGAACACAGGGGTGTCATCCGGATTTGTAGAGATAGGATCAGGAAAGCCAAGGCACAGATGGAGCTGAACTTGGCAAGATGGAGCTGAACTTGGCAAGGGATGTGAAGAATAACAAGAAGGGGTTCTACAGATACATAGGCAGGAGGAGACAGGCCAAGGAGAGTGTTCCCCCTCTGATAAACGAGACGGGAGAACTGGCTTCCTCAGACATGGAAAAAGCTGAGGTACTCAATAAGTGCTTTGTCTCAGTCTTCACTGGTCTGTCAGGACCCTGAACCTGAAAAATTAACTCTATCCTAACTCTATCCTAACTCTATCCTAGCTGAAACCATGACCAATTTTTACTGTCAGAGATAGGTGTTGTTAGCCCAGTGCTGGGCATGGGACAGCATTGGATGCTGGTGAGAACCAGATCAAAAACCTGGATGCTGGTGTACCTTTTTCTCCAGCTGTAGCAAACTCTGCTTGTGTGTAATGTTCATCACCTTGTTCATGTGTTGTCCAACAGGTACACCCAGACAACAAGGAAACAGAAATGCCTATGGTAAATTCCCACCTTCCTGTGTGCTTGCATTGCGTGGTATTTGTAAAATGCTGCTGGGGCGTTTCCAGAGGTAACATTCCTCTGAGTACAGAAAATCATAGGTGATGAGTGAGCTGCAGGGTGAGGGAAGCAATCCCTTGCTTCTTCCAGGGTAAAGGGCTTTCCCATATCATAAGGACCTTTACTGTTGGAAAGGTTGGGTGTGAGAAAGTTTCAGTCCTGGCAGTAAGAGAGGGTATGTAACAAGAAATCTGGGTAATCAAATGTCTTTTTGAGGGTAAAAAGGGTGTGGTAGGAGTCAGACTACATAAAACGCTTGGTTTCATCCTACCAGTGAGCAACTTCCCCAGCACAGCCTTGGTTACCTAATTTTGTGGGGTGTCCTAGTCCTGCAGTAGCCAGGAATGGGGACATGGATGCAAAAGATGACCATCACCTAAGCCTCTGGGTTTTCCCTTGTAGGTAATGCACCAAAACTTCCCAGCGTCTCAAGTGCCTAATAACACCAGCTGCGCAAAGCGGTCAGGTGGCCCTGCTCCTGACATACAGCAGGCCCTCTCCGCTAGCGAGAGGCAGTGCATAGAGACCATCGTCAACATGGGGTACTCGCCTGAGAACGTCCTGAAAGCCATGAAGAAGGGACAGAACATAGACCAGGTAAGAGTTTTTGCAGGAAGAGAGAAACATTTGAGTGGGTGCTGATTCTGCTGAGAAACAGCCTTAGCTTTGCAAAATGGAGAGGGAGGGCACTTTATTCTAACAGTGGATTGCAGAACTGCCCCAGAAGTTTTCACCTGGCAGAAAAGGCTTCCCAAACCAAAGAACATCTGCATAAGTTTCTGTTAATCTGCTTCAGTCAGCACAGTCTTCCTCGAGTCACAGAACAATCCTTGGGAAGCTTGGTATGGATCCATGCCTTTAGTGCTGTGTGACCAAAAAGCAAAGCACCTTCCCTTTTTGGAGCACAAGGGGTTACTCTGATGATGCCTCTCCCTGTAGAGAGATGGGCCCCTGCAGGCTTACTACAGCCATGAAAGCCTCGTGAGGCACCAGTGACTGACTTTTTGTGTGCTCTGACTATGGTGTTTCTTGCCATGTGTTGCCTCAAACGCTTGCTAAAACCATGTCACGGAGCTTTTCTGCTCTGAGTGATTCAGAATGGAAGGCTAGAGAAGGAAGGCTGTTTGACTGGAGTGAAAGATGAAGTTGATGGGAGAGCACAAAGACAGAAGGACTTGTTTGCTGTTTTTTTGAACAAGCTCTTGCACAAAGAGCGTCTCAAGATAGAGTAAGAAGAGCTTTGTCTCGGTTCCTGGTGAAGTCTGGGATAGAGTTGTGCTCAGTTCCTCTCTGCACGTACCAAGGTGTACGACTCTGTGCTGTGAATGCAGCTCTGCAAACTTCTTTGTTTTGTTCCCTGCAGGTTTTGGATTACCTGTTTGCACACGGACAGCTTTGTGAGAAGGGCTTTGATCCACTTCTTGTTGAAGCAGCTTTGGAAATGCATCAGTGTTCAGAGGAGAAGGTGAGAGTGCCGTGTGCTCCGCAATAGTGAGAATGCACCACAAAGGGGAATTCCAGCACTATGAAGTGGTTGGTGTAATTCTATCTCCATGGTAATGTTGCCTTGTTGTCAAAACTGGCTGCCAAAGAACATTCTTGTGGTGATGAAGGGAATATGTTAAAACATTAGATTTCTTCTGCATTGGTTTATTGGTTTATTACCCTTACTCACATGCATTTTTATGAGGACAAGCTCTTTTTAAAGACCCCGCTTATTTTGATGGCAATGTTCCAAACACAGTGTTGTCTTTTGAGCAAGGTGCTCGGTACAGAGAGAGTTAACTTCAGAAGCAGCAAATTATCATCAAAACCCTTCCAGCTTGCCCTGGCTGTAAATATTCTCCACTGTACAAATTGGGTTAGGACTCTGTCTGAAAGAAGCTGGAAAAAAACAGCTTTTGTGGTTTATGGTGTGGCTGCTTTGCCAGCACCAAAGGTACAGAGGACAGCAGAACTGCTTTTTAGTGCCTGTTGTGTGCTGAGTTATAATGGGAATTCTTTGGAGGTGCAATTCACCCACCTTCCCCCCGACATATACATACAGCTAGTGATGAGCTTGCAAACAGAGAAGCAACAGTGTGAAGATAAGGGAAGTGACAGTGTTTCGGAAACACATTTGCTAGTGGCTTAACCCCCAAATTGGAAATGACTGCTCTCCTGGTTGTCTGTTTTAACCTGGTTTTCCCCTCTGGAGTGGAGGCACTGTAAGTAGCAGAGGGTTCATAAACATTTGAGTTGATTTACTAGTTGTCACTGTTTTAAGAGCTTGGGAAGGATTTGTTTGGTGTTGGTAGTATAGCACATGGTGTTGTGGTGGCTTTACCCCGCTGGGCAGCTGAACTCCACCACAACAGCACTCTTACTCGCCCTCCTCAAAAGAAGAGGGGGAGAAGAAAGTATCCTTCCCCTTTCCCAGCTCTTATTGCTGTGTGACATCACATGCTATAGAATATCCCTTTGTTTGGTTTAGATCAGCTATGTGATGTCCCCTCCCCACCTCTTGCCCACCCCCAGCTTGCTGGCTCTGGGGGCCTTGGAGGAAGTCCTGATGCAGTGCCAGTATTGTGCAGCAATAGACACAACACTGGTGTGATACCAGTGCTGTTCTAGCTACAAGTGTAGAGCACAGCACTGTATGGGCTGCTGCAGGGAAAGTTAACTCCATCCCAGCCAGACCAAGTACAAGTGTCCAGTAGGATTTTTCATTATAGCCCCGTTTTGCCCTAGATCTGAAGAGTCATTTTATAGTTAGGGCTGTTGTACTGTTCTTCCCAAAGTCAAAGTAACTTGAAAAAACTTCATATGCAGCTGGAGCTGCTGGATGGGGGAGCAAAGTGATATTAATCAACCTTTCTGGGAGTCTGAATTGGGACAGGCTGATTAATTTCTACTGAGAGAGACTACCCCAGACTAGGCTTTGGTGTGTTTACTGAAGAGGGTTTGGGAGATGCAGGACTGCAAATGCTGGGAACTGAAAGTGAGGCCCAGAGGGCTGCTGCATGCAGAGCCCTGCCAACTCTTGTTGGAGTGGATTTGCTTCAAACTGAGCGTGTATGGGCTGTGCATGGGAGTGGGATTGTCCCCATGGGGTGCCCAGTCGCTGAAGACCATCTCTGTGCTAAACCCCAGCTCTGACTGAGCCCTGATCTTCTTTTCTCTTGCAAATAATCGTCTGTCTCTTTCAGATCACAGAACTTCTCCAACTAATGAGTCAATTTAAAGAAATGGGCTTTGAACTAAAAGACATTAAGGAGGTCTTATTATTACATAACAGTGACCAACACAATGCTTTGGAAGATCTAATGGCCCGTGCAGGAGCCAGCTGAAAACACATTCCTGGGATCTCGCATGCCAACTTCACATCCAATGTGACTTGGTCTCGGCAGGAAGGAGTCCAGCTTTTCACACACATGGGAGCGTTACTGGGCAAGCCTACCTGCGTGCATCACTCCAGCATTTCTCTTTCCACTGGGAGACAACTTTCTTTCTTACTTTAAATTTTTAAAGTGTCCTTTCCTAAGTTTCCTTTTTTTCCAGCTTGGCCATGGAGAGTTTAAACTGCCCAGCCTCTACTGGAATTGTACATAAGCAGAGACTGGAGTGGTTCCTCCCACTGTTGCAGTGGAGTTGGACAGAAGAATATGAAGTTGGTTCTGAAACCTAGGATGCTTTGGTTCTTTGAAGCTGCTTTCATGGTGTCTGCTTGTACTGAATTACTTGACTGTGTCACAGTCCAAATTAACTGGTTAAATTTGACCTTCAGTGCAATGGAATTTAATTTTTTGGTTGAAAGTTAGCCTATAACTTAGTAAAAACACTGGTTCAGAAACTGTCACTATGCATAAAGAGAAGCTGTTCCTCTTGTGATTGTTTTTAACCCATGCATCCAACACTTCTGCCAGACATGAGTGTCCAATGCTGAGTGGTGTATACGTTCACTTGGAACAGGTAAACCGTGAACTCGGCCTGGACCTGCAACTGCTGTTGGTTCTTGAACCCGAAGGCAGAGAGCTGGGGCTCAGTATTCTTAATCCCCCAGGCTTGTAGAATATTTAAGAAAATGTTCTGCTAGGAAATCAATCATCTTTTGTTTTAAATAATACTCAGTGTGATGCAGGAGGTTTCTTTCAAGCACTTTCTTTAAAACAAATATACTCACTGCATTAGTTCCATTTTCCACATTGCTGTAGAATTACATAATAACATCTAGTACTAGAAATCAGGTTTTGAGTTGTTTTTAATAGTACCGAGTATTATGTTATACATTGTTCAAGTTCTAAATACATAAAATATCATCAGTCTTGAGGAATCTTTAAAGTAATTTGCTAAATATTTTGATTCTGCAGAAGAACAACTAATAAAACGCTCAAATGTAGCTCCCAATGGCATGGTTCCCATCTCTCATGCTCTTTGGCTTCAGCAGATGAAGAACTTGCTAGATCCTGCAAGCCCAGGTGCTGCTATCTCCTGGTTTCAGAAAATAAAAATGTGTAAGGTTCCTGCTATCACCTTTCTACACAGGTTAGCTTTTTAAGGGTTAGGTATAGAGACTGGTGATCTGATGTACAGTTTTACAATGTACTGAGCTGTGTTCCAGACACTTCTTGTGTTGCATTTAACAGTCATGAAGATAAATAGTGAGCTGGGCACCTCATTGATCAGACATAATAGCCCATTTTACAGAGAAACGAGAGGAAAGGGATTATTTCACATCAGGTCATAGGGCTTGTCCAACTTCTGCCTGGCTACAAGTCTGCCAGGTTGCACATGAGCAACAGCAGCAGTGTGTAGCCCAGGCCAAGTGGAACCTCACCTTCCATCACGATGTGGGACGCTGTTGGATAAAATGTGACCTGAAACTCTGATTAAAACTGAAATGGATGCAGTTATTTTTAAGTAGATCTTGTATTAATAATTGTTCTCCAGCTGAGAGCAGAGCTTGCTGCATTTATTCCCAGGTCAGTATCTAAGAAGTTGGGAAGTGTCGGTATCCTTGGGGCTAGGGGCTACAACTACTACCACAGAAAAACGAATCATTCACAAGCTAATTTGGCAGAACTCCAGCTATCTTGTGCATTGTATCTTTGTCCTGCACAGACATCAGCACTAATGAAGATTAGCTCAGCTGCCCTAGCTTATGTTTCTTAAGCGCTTTAAACACTGTGTGGTTCAGTGTGTGGCTTGGCAGGAATCTCTCCTGCAGCCACAGTTTCATGTCTGGAGAAGTTGCAACCGTCTGAAAGTAGGAGAGAAACTGATATGGGAAGTCCAAGCTAATTGCATTGCTCTAAGCAAGGTCATGCTGTGAAATATACTCCGTAGTGTTAAGTTATTCACCCACTGCTGGGAGGCCTGCCATGATTGTCAGAATTCTGCTAGCCAGAAAATGATTGCCTGCTACAAGGGGCATATAATGGCAGGGCGTGACCAACAATTAGCAAGAAAAAATCTCAAATGCAATAAAATGATGATGATGATGATGATGATGATGATGATGATGATGATGATGATGATGATAATAATAAAGGTTGCTTTGTATCATTGCATTCTCTGCCACAAAACTACTACAGCTTATGGCTCTTATGCTGCTTTATGAACTTGTGTGTTATCTGGTAATACAGCGCATGCAGCTGTGTAAGAAAAATCTTAATAATTTTCTTCAGACAGGATCTTCTGTGAAGCTATTTTATTCGCGATTGCAATGGTGGGCGTCCTGGCAATTAGGAGCGCATTATAGTAAACAAATCATAACCTTTTATTCCATACTACCCGACACCTGATCACGTCCCCTGTTTCCTCATTGGCTGAGTACTACAGGTTCACAAGCTACTCGACGCTCCTCTATACCATATATGCACAATATTTTTGCTCAACCCTTTAATTTCTCCTTTTTCCCTTTAATTTCTCCTTTCTTATGCTTTGAGAACTTATGATCTTTGTTTTACTGTTCTCAAACTGCTCATCCTATTTTTCTCAAGCTTCTGCATTATTTTGGAACAGTGAGGCCTCCTGCTGACCAATTATCTACTTAGCATTTCTCCTTGTTATGACTACACAACTACCTTTGAATACAGAAGGTTAGTTTTCTACTGCAAAAACACGCTCTACTTCAAAAACATGTTCTACTGCAAAAAAAACAACTTTGTTTCTCACAATTCCCCCCTCTTCTTTTCTTACTCCTCTTTGTACTTCTTCACATACCGCACTCTTGAGTTTTTCCAACACTGAGGTGCAATATTCTTCTTCGGATGTCACGGGAGATGATAGATATACAATGCCATTATTATTACAATACCAACAAATAGTTGTCTGAGCCAATTCTGTTCAGGTAACCACGATGTTAGTTTCTCCCAAATGTTTCTAAATCCCCAGAAAGTGTCATCTTGAGCCACTCTACGTAGGATCTTGTTTTGCTTTTTTTTCCCCCAAATATTTTTGAGATTAGTCAAATCCGTCCCATTTGATCTACATATATACAGCAACTAGTATTAATTACAGTGCACGCTCCTCCTTATGAGGTTATTAATAAATCTAATGCTATTTGATTCTAGAGTACTATTTTTGCAAACTTATCAAACTTATTTTCTAGTTCTTCAATATATTTACAATATTTTTGTATTTTGAGAAATTTACAATGTCTTTTTCTAATTCACTCACCCCTAAACAAGATAAAAACCACTTTGCAAAACTGTGAAATGCTAGAGAATTTTACTAAAGGATTATCTGGAATCCGCTTAATTCCACGTGTGGTCTCAAGGGGGCTTCGGCTTTGTGGGGGTTCAATAATAGTTACATTTGGAATTATTGCCTCCAGGGTGCAAGCTCCCTTCCATCCTAGGGGCAACACCTTCCTGGCTTTATTGCCACATAGCCAGTACCACCCCTTGATATTTGGAACAGGCCTTCTGGTTACAGGATTCTCATGTTGTATCTGGTGTTCATTATGTATATTAGCGTTCCCATGGCTACTATATTCGGTATACAGTATAGATTATTCCCTACTTCATGGATATTTCCACACCCAGGGTCAGTAATATTGCCTCCTGAGTTTTCTATCAATGTTGTTTAAAAGGCACCTTTGATAACACAGTATGTTGTAGCCAGGACTATGTGTAGGGAGCTCAACTTCAAAATCTATTCCTTCCCGGGACTGAGTAAGATCTGTCGTTTTTAGAAATCTAGAGAATCCAGAGTTGCTGCTGGAAACAGCAATCAGGGACAAGGCCTTTTCAGTCTTTCTAGGCATCTGGGTACAAATCCAACAATTATTTCACTCGAGAGATGTTCTGGATTAATTGGAAATGCCGAACATTCCCTCCATCCTATCACTAATCCACTGAGAACAGGTATTATTAAGATGAACTTAAAATACATCATTTCTATATGTATATATACACCCCTATAATAATTAAGAAATAATAATAATTAAGAAATAATAATAATTAAGAAATAATAATAAAAATCGCAAACTGATAAGGATTCTTCTGGTGGGGATCGAATATCCCCCTTTCTTTTTCTCCCACTTCCAGGGAGTGTTCCCTGGAAACACTCCAATTCTGTGTAATTCAATCCCTTTTACTCATTAATTCATTAAGAATTCTTCTAAGGAGAAGTTAAACGTTTACAATAGATACTTTCAACAGTTTTAACCTTAAAAGTCGTTGTTAATGCAGTCTCTCAGGTATCAGGGTTAACTGATGCTTTTACCCAGGAATGAGTCCACCCTCTCTCAGCCGTTCTTACTGTTGTTTCAGTAGTCAGGAGCACTTGGAACAGTCTGTCCCAGTCAGGTTGCAGTTTCAATTCTCTCTATGTTTGCATCAGATCCCAATCTCCTGTTCGGAATGGATGGATCAGGACTTCCAAGTGTGGGAATATAAATGTTGTTTTTGCAGTGTTACATTGTTTAGAAGGAGGGAGTGTGGTACTGAGATATGCTTACAGTGATAAGAAAGCTTAGCAGGCGACCTTGTAAAATGCAGACAACCAGACTCCTTAGGACAATTAGGTGAAAATCACGGTGTTAAGTCAAGTCAGAGAAGTGAAGAAACATTACCACTTCAAGCAGTAAAAATGACAAAAGAAATTTGAAATTTAACAGGCCAGCCACTGAAGGCCATGCATTGTTTGTGAAGCATCAGATAGACTGTGAACCTGGATTACCCACTCAGTGGGGAAACAGGGGAGGGTCCTGTCATCAAAAAGTATATGAACTGTGTTTTGGAAGTAGTAGAGGCGCGCTCTCCTGCTTGTGGGGCGCCCGCCATTGCAATTGCGAATAAATTACTACTTCACTGAGATCCTCGCCTGAGCCTAAGTTGTTGGCTATGGAGTGTTTCTCAAGGGTGTGGTTTGAGCTAATGATCAACGTATAAGTATATAAATAATAAGTATATAGTTCTTAAGAATCTTTTGTCTCAAATTGAGGTAATTCATTCCCTTTGTCCAGGTACAGCAATCCAAATAATATTTCATATGGTGAATCTCCCACATCTTTTCTTGGTGCTGTTTGAATTTGGAGAAGTGCCAAAGGTAAGCGCTTTGTTTGGGGAAGCTGAGTTTCCAGAACTTAGTCAATATTTTCAACAATTCCATACCTGGGAATTATTTGTAGTTACTTTAGTTACTATGTTCACATTAGCAGATACTGAAGGGAAAGTGTCCACCCACCCTGACAAATGATCGACCAAGACTAATAAGTGTTTACATCTACCTACTCTAAGAAGCTCTGTAAAATCTACCTGCACATTTTGGAAGCGCTGAATTCCTGGTTCTCACTCCCGCTTTGGGCTTTCTTATTTACCTTTTGGCATACTAGACAACTGCTGCATACTTGTTCAGCCACAGTATATATATATTCCTACGCATACATATTTCCATAGCACAGCGTCACACACTGCTTGTGTTTGATTCAAAGATCAAAGCTGAAATTTCTTTAAGTGGTATATTCTTTATTGCAGCGCTGGATGCACAGGGGATCTCTCCACCTATCGTGCATGTTCGAAGTAACAAACGATCTCATATTTATACAGCAACACAATGAATATTCTATTAACGCCTATACATATTCATTACATAAACCCACCTACTCTCGCTTCATATGCTAATTAGCTTATCAGTCCTTGCGCTTGCACAAAGCCTTCCAAGAATTGTGGGCTGGGGTCTTTGGGATGTGGGCAGTGGTCTTTGGGAGATCTCGTGATGCACTTTTCACCTTTTGCTTAAAAAATGCCAGGTAGGATGAATCAGTTGTTTTCCAAGCTGAGTTGGCTTTCGGCCTAACTGAGGAACAGCAGATAATGGGATGTCTCAGTTAACAAGACATAATAGAAGGTTGACTCAAGTTATCTCAAGTCTCAGCCTGACTGAGGGTCAACAGATAACAGGATGTTTCAGTTAACAAGATGCTTCAACATAACAAAAGGTCGACAGATAACAAGATGTCATCTATTTTGTTCTCAATTTTTAACCACAAGATTTATTCTGTCCTAAAGTGAGTCTATACAATATCATTCCCCCCTTTTCTGGGAAAATCTAGTAAATTCTTTTACTTAATACGGAAATTTTTCTTCCCAGTCTTTATGATATGTACCCCTCAATACCTTGCCATGCACATTTGTCAAGGAGGCTAACATGGACATTCGTTGTAACAATTTCCAATTCCAAACAAGTAATACAAAAGACAATATTAAACTTATACCAACTAATATCAATAAAACAATAATTGGGTGACTCAATGTGTTCAAAATCCCATTTGCAGTTGGTGACCATCCAAAGAGTGTATCCCACCAGTTGTGACTTGTGTCTTGTTGTACTCTTCAAAACTCTGCTTATTTCCTTTGTATCATGATGGACAGTGATTAGAGTCTTCTCTCCATTTTCCTGAATGCCTTTTAAAATTTTAATCAGGTCTTGGTGTTTAACTAGTTGCTTCACTAGTGTGAGGTTCATCCCAATAGGTGTAGGTAATAACTTATGATACATTGTGTTGTTAGACTTGATCAGCTGGTGGGATACCACTGGTGCCAAATATAGAAAATCACACTCGACGATTCTAACAAAGTTACAAATACAAAAGTTAGAATGATTTTTGCTATGGAGAGTTATGTTCTCCTTATCTACTTCTACAAAATCACAAGCAGTTCTTAAACACAGCCTTGACCAATATATACAAGCACAGTCTTTTGACTAGTCTTTGGATGAATTTCAAAGTGGCAGACACCTTGCTCCGTGTCAAAACATACATCCTGAGCATCAATTGTATTGCTTTCACAAATAAATCCTTGTTGTTCCCGGGTAACACATGATTCTAGATTTACAGACTGCCATTTCCCATTCTCCATCCGTGCCCATGTTCTATGCTCCGAAGGATAGAGCACTGTCTCCTCATGGTTTAATCCTAGTGCAATGATGGGGTGGATAACATAAACTGTGGCATTACTTATAGTAAGCACAAAGGCAGTAGCCATGTTAACAATGGGATCATAAGTAAAATTTACCAGGGTCCACCAAGACAGGAACTTATTCTCAAAATCATTGGCATTGTCCCAAATTGCCTTTTGGA